ACACACTAACACATCCATACGAGTTGACCTGCTCCTCATAATTTACTTGGCTCTCCTGTATTAATTAACTTGCAGTTGAATTGGAGAGAAGTGTTTCGACACCTGAACATCGTTCTGATGCAACTGAATTGGCATGTGCTGATGTTCTAGATGTCTGTCATGTGCACATCATTAATGTAGTACAGCCACATTTTTCAGCTGCTTTATTGTGTTTTAATGATAATTCAGCCTCACTTCAGTCTCAGCTCAGTGTTATTACTGAAGAATCAAACTACCAGGAGATCAGACTTGAGTCTGGAGGATAGATTATATTCGTATGTGTGCAGGTCACAGACTGAACAAGCTGGCTGGGGCACTGAAGAGTCTCAGACACACTGCTGCCCTGGACCATCGCTAAATAAAGTATATGGACCAGCAGCTGCTCTTAGCCTATACATAACAATGCAACAGGTGACCATGACAGACAAAATAACTGTTCAGAATGTCCTGAGGTTCAGCAGTGAGTTCCAGCAAACGTATACAGATCACATACATCAGACAGTAATCAGATTTCTGCTTTACGTAAACGTAACATAAAACTCAAACTTCACGCTGCGGCTTTTTTATTAAAAAAACGTTGCGCCACTTTTATTCATTAATAAAATGTATTTAAATCTATTGTTTCGTCAAGCATGTAGTCAGACTGAGAAATCCGAAAGAAATCAGAGTAAGAGTTTACATCTGATTAAATCTGATTACTGAGCTGAAAATCCAGCCTCTTTATGAGTTTTCTTAATCGGATTTCTAGACCTTACTCTGATCTGAGAAACCAGAGTGTGCTGTTTACATGACCATTTGAATAAATCAGATAACTGCAGAAATCTGATCATGATTGGATTATCGAGTGCATGTAAACGTTATACAGGACCATGAACACTTGAAGAACTATTTGCATTCACATGGTGAAATGGTTCTTCAGCTTGATTGAGAAAGTGTTGTAAATGGTTCTATATAGCGCCAGACAGGGTTCTTCTGTTGTTACGATGTCAGGCTTGTATATAATAGCAGAAGCCTTTTGGGTGGAGCTATATAGAACCATATATAACACGTACTCCATCAGTCTGAAGAACCATTCCACCATTTAAGCATGCACATGGTTCTTTGAGTGTTCATGGCCCTGTCTTTGCTAAAGAACCCTTGAAGAACCACCTTTTTTAAAGAGTGTATAGTGTTTTGTAGAGCGCTGCCTTTAAATGATGACTATGGTGGGACGTGTTGAGAAGGCAGGGTGATTCATCAGAACCTCGGTTTGTTGTTGGGACTGAATATATTTCTTTCTTGCTGTCTTTGGCCTTCAAACTGCTGCAAACGAAGCATTAGATGATATAATGACTCCAGTAGAGTCGTGCGCTCTCTCACTGCGGGCTCTTCTCCACACCGAGCTACAGTCATGACAGCATGAACGGTTCTTGTGTGGTTCTCCGGTTCAGTGAAGAGCTCGTCTAGCAGTTTGTATTGTATGGATTCCACACAGCGCAGGACGTGGTGGGAAAAATAAATCTCCATCCACCCTGAAAGGTTGATGAAACTGATAAAACCAGTTATTTATTCATTTTTGAAAGAGGTTAGAATAATTTTTTTTTCCAGAAACTATTTTTTTGTGCTGCTGAGCTCTTATTTTGTAAAATAAGAGCTCAGCTCTGCCTTCCTGTTAAAGTGAAATGAGCTCGCCACTGCAAAAATGGCATCTTGTGAAGTGAAATGATCTCAAATCTAGTCAATCTATCTAATATTTCTTGTTTATTCACTTATTATAAGATCATTAAGCTTATTTCTAGACATGTTTTACTTGATTTAGGTCATTTTATTAAGTAAATTTATCTCACTGTAGGCACATTTCTTACAACAAGCACAATTATCTGCCAACATAGTGAGATACTTTTACGTAATAAAATGACTTAAAACAAGTAAAGAATGTCTACAAATAAGTTAAATGATCTTAAATTAAACTTACAACAATATCAACAGGAGAAATGGTACATTTCCTGACTGTATTTAAGATCATTTTAATTTTTAAAAATTTTAAAGAATTTTAATGAGATAAATTTGAATAGAACAATGTATTCGTCTGTAAGTGTTTCATTGTGTTTCAGCATCAGAATCACTTTATTTTGCGAAGTATGTTACACATATAAGGAATTAGTCTTGGTGAGTCACACATCAGGGTTCATACGGTCATGAAAATCCTGGAAAAGTCACGGAATATAATAAGTGCTGGAAAGATCATGGAATTTTCTTGGGTGTTTCCCCCACTCAGTTCGTCATCTCATCACATTTGACGTGAGATTTGAGTCTAGATCACAAAAAGCAGCACATGGACCAGCTTTACCAACGTCGTTAATATGAATCTCGACTAGCTGAGGTGTAACACTCAGAATGTGTGTGTTGTGGAGGATGTTTTTATATATTGTTTTTATAAACAAAAAAAAAACATCACTTCATTAACAGCTACCAGCGCTGCTCTGTAGGCGACCCTGCCAGTCTGCAGTGACAGCAGAGGAGGGTAAAGTTCAGCTCCTCACTGCTGGGCTTTAGTTACATTTAGGGCATCATATGATCTTCAAAGAGGGGGGTGATTATTTATTATCGCCCACCACTAATTCTTCAGTGATAAGAAGCTGAAGTCAGATATTCTCCAGCTTCTTGATCGAATTTTACCGTTCCACCTTAAATGGTGCAGCAGTTACATTGTGGCTCTTCGGGCGTCAGAACTGCTGTACTATTTAAGGTGGAACGGGAAAGTAGCTAGCTAGCTACCGAGACATTAGCATGCTGTTAGCGATTTTTTTATGCTTGTTATGAAGAAAACGACCATAATACACTGAAACGACATTAAACTAAGATAATATGATCGTTATCATATTTTTTTAAGGAGAAAATTCTCACATTTGTGGTTTTTTTTGGTCGCTCGCGCAGCCATCTTGCTGTTTTTTCTTTTTTTCTCATAACTCTCTGTTTGGAGTCTCTGAAAAACCTCCGTTTGGAGGGTCATGTAGCCCCAACACTTCACCCTACCCCACTATCTCAACAAGAATCGGGACACCCAACCCCCAGACGTGAACGCGCAAAACAGAGGACTAAGGGCTGAGTGACAGGGGCGAGGGGTGAAATGGGATTGGGCCTTGCTTCTTCACTGTGAGTGAAGCTAGGTTTCTACTTGACACATTGCAAGTGGCACGAGGGTGTGCACGCAGGAAATGACACAAATGCAGCGCTTCTGACCCCCTGGCCTTGCGTGCTCTCGCGGTGCGCGGTTGTGCGCCTCTACATTTTTTTAACTTGGCACTTAAATGGTCCTTATCTATCAAATATATCACTAAAAGGTCAGTTTCACAGCGTACCGGTTTAGATGATATATCGCCCATCACTATGCTAAATGTGTGGCATGGAAATTTCATTTTATGTCTTGGAAAAGTCATGGAATTCCATTGTTTTTAAAAAAAAAAAGTGTAGGAACACTGACACATATGAAATGTAGCATACTGAACAAACCAGACCAGTAAGCAGACTGTTAGGAAGTGTTTAACTAAGAGACACAGAATAATGTGTGAGTATCTGTAGGTACGCAGGTCTGAGTAGACATATACTATAAAGACTATTATATACAGAATATTACATACCAGGGGTGTCCAGTGTTATCCTCAACGGGCCGCTGTGCCTACAGGTTTTCATTCCAACAGCAGGAGGTCACCTGTTGAAATGTTTGATGACGAAGACAGACTGGCCCTTTGCGGATAAGATTGGACACCTCTGATCTATACAGTTGTGCAAATAAGCATCTTGTTACAGAGCAATAAGAGTACAAGGGGTGTATTATGTTTAATCTAAGGCCCAGTCCCATTTCACCCCTTGCCCTTACCACTTTCCACACCCGACCCCTAGCCCTACACCCTCCGTTTTGCGAGTTCACATCTAGGGGTAGGGTGTCCTGATTTTTTTCAGATAGAGGGGTAGGGGTGAAGTGTTGGGACTACATGGCCCTCCAAATGGAGGTTTTTCAGAGACTCCAAACAGAGAGTTATGAGGAAAAAAGAAAAACCAGTAAGACGGCTGAACAAGAGACAAAAGAAACACAAATGTGAGAATTTTCCCCGTTAAAAATTACGATAACCACTGTATTATCTTATATTATGGTGTATTATGGTCCTTTTCTTCATAACAAGCATGTAAAACGCTAGTACTATGCTAATACCAGCTAAATTTCCCATTCCACCTTAAATGGTGCCGCAGTTACCTTCTGACACCTCAGGCATCAGATCTGCTGCACAATTTAAGGTGGAACAGGAAAATTCTAATGAGAATCTGGTGAATATCTGACTTTAACTTCGTATCACTGAAGAATTAGGAGTGGATGATAATAAATAATCTTTGAAGGCATATGATGCCCTAAATGTAACTAAAGCCCAGCAGTGAGGAGCTGAACTTTACCCTCCTCTGCTGTCACTGCAGACTGGCAGGGTCGCCTACAGAGCAGCGCTGGTAGCTGTTAATGAAGTGATGCTCTGTTTATTTGAGGGTCTCATTTCAGAGGGAAGATTTCAACCACTATCTGTTGTAACTCAGTTCCAAGGGGCAAGGAGACCCTTGAAAACAAGGGGTAGGGGTAAAAAGAAGAAATGGGACTGGGCCGAAGTGTCTGTTGTTTGTTTGCTGTAAAGCTCGAGCACATTTTAAATGAATGACCTTGTTTACTAGTTGTGCTGTTGTTTACCTGAGCAGGGTGATGACAGGATAAACAGTGTAATGTATATTTCTGTCCTCTTGCTGTTCCCACACTGTAGTACTGACTGGTTTGACCATTAATCAGGCCATGCAGTAGCAGTGGATATATAACTGTGTGCAGTGTTTGTGCTGATCTGTGTTGTGTTATGAGTTGATGTCTGCTGTGATGATGTAATACGTTTCTTGTTGAAGCCGTAGCCGACGTTCTTCTTGACGCTGGTTTTGTTTCTGTGTTACAGGTGAGCCACACAAGTTTGACCCAACGTTTAGAGGGCCGGTCCACAAAAGGTATGATTGCACCTTCTTTTTAAAGCGATAGTTTGGCATAAATCATATTTTCAGTTGTGGTCATTCTGCCTAGTTTATCACACGCTCACCTCAAACCGTGTGGAGTTGTTTAGGAAACTCTAACAGACTTGACTGTGTGGTTTCAGGCTTCAGGCTGCTGCTGCCATTTTTAGCCGTGAAGTTGATTTTTATAGATACCAGTATGTCATACAGTGTCAGGTGCTAATTGACTGACCGGCCCTGTTATTGCAGGACGTGTTGCCTTCATGGACAGGCTGGTTACCCCACTGACCTCATTACTCCGCTGGCCTCGTCCTCTCTCTGCTGGTGGATCAGTGCTGAAGCGTTTAAGTCGTAGCTCAGGGGAAAAACTACACAGTTATTCTGGTTTGACATTGTAATGCATAAAAAAGGACAGAAGGATGTTGCAGAGCTGCGCCTTGAAAAATGAAAACTGTCCATTCATCAGCTCATGTTTATAGAATGAGTCATACAGTGTCAGAAACCACATAATCAAGTCTAATAGAGATACTGAACAGCTCCACATGGTTTTACACCAGTGGCGTAGGCAGAATTTCATTTTAGTGCGCATGGTTCAGGATGGGGGCTGGCTAGGGACCTTTATGCCCCCTAACAATCAACAACAAGCCTAATTCATTGTGTCTGGGTCATTCTAGACATGTCCACTTTTCTATCTCTCCCTAGGGGTCACTGGTGTTACAGATCCTCATTGGTGTTACACATAATAAAGGGAACACCAGAGACATTTTTAATGAAAAATGCATTTTACTAAATAACTGCTACAGAGCATCAAACCACATGTTGTCAATCATGGAATATCCACTAAAATATGTAATTTAATCCATTTGTGTTCTATTTATTCACAATTACCTCAGAATAAAGTCGGTCACACCAGTGACTTCAGCTAAAAGCTTCATATGAAATCATGAGCTGAATGAGGAAATCTCTGATAACTGAAAGACACAGTGGACTCACCATGAGCTTTTCTTCATAGATCCTCAGAAAACAGGTAAAAGGAAGTCAAATGATGTCATCAGTGTGACTTTTATTTCAAAATAATAGATTTTTTGTTACGCGGTAAAACCAGTGACACGACTCCTGGGGACCACAACTCACATTATATATTTGTAATATTTATTTGGCTATATATATAAAAATCTATATATTTTATAATATTTACAGATAGCTGTGACATCACTGGGAACCAAACTCACAGTCTCCTAAAGATGGGGTCAATGCTTAAACCGTTGCTCCCCTCTGAAGCCCATAAACGCAGAGCTAGCTAGGCACATGAAGCTCCACCACGTCATTTCATACAGCTGCTAACGCAGCGTCACTGGAGCTCAACACACTTGGAGGTGAACACTAACTGCTAATTCTGTTACCTCAGCTAACAGACGTCTACATTGGCTAACATTGCATTGAGTAATGGGGGGAGTGATTACGGATGGCTGTGGCATCGCTGGGCATCGAACTCGCAATCTCCTGATGATAAGGCCAACGCCTAGACTGTTCCTCCCTTCTGAAGCCCATAACCAAGGCGTTTCCATTAGCATTGGCCACCACGTAGCTACATCCCTGTTATAGGCTTCCACTACTTTCTGTTACATTAGCCTTGTAGCTCCTGACAGAAATATTTAATGAAACATTCCTGATTAATAATCAATAAAGTAAATATTAGCTAACTTGAACATTTGGAAATCTCCTAAAAAGGTAACATTGGGAAGCAGGTTATAGACTGCATGCATTTGGGATATCACCTCTAAAGGGGATGAACTCAATGAACTCTTGAACTGTACAAAGTGTAGCTACAGATTAGGGCTGAAAGGAGGGGATTGTTGGATGATGTATAAACTATAGCTGAGGTAAAAACTAAAAAAGGGGAACTCTGTTAGATGACAGTGTAAATTATAGCTGAAGTGAACTCCTGAACTTGGCTGAAGAAGCTGTGTCAGATGACCCTGAGAGGATGGAACAGCCTGATACAACCAGGTCAGCATGGTTTTTAAAAAAAGGACATCATGAGTGTTTGGCTTTAAGGGTTGCCAAAAAGGGTGCAGGTTCTGGATACAATGGGGACTAAGATGATATGGAATTGTGTAAAAATCACCCCAAAAAGGATGTAAAAACAAGACGCCTCGAGATGATCTTTGCATTGTGGTGGTCCGGGAACCATCTTGCCACTTAAAGTTCAATAAAGAGAAGTCCTTTTCCTTCCTTCCACAAGAACTCAGCAGCTGAAGTCTTTTAATTCCTTTTTGTTCCTTTTTATCCTGTTTTACTTTATTCCTTTAATTCTTTTTGAAGAAGTTAGACTACAGTTAGTCGTCAGGGCAATAGTATAGAACATATTAGAGATATTCATATATGTCTAGACCCTGGGCAGAAGAGACAGGTCTTGGTCGCGACACTCCAGTGCAAAACTAAAGAAGCAAACTTCTTTGTCTGTCCTGATCTACGTTAGGTGGCGGGTAAACACTGTAAAATTGATTTCTGAAACTGTCTCTCGAAACGTTTGTCATAGCTGACTTTGTCTGTACGGGCTAATAGACTCATGACGTCAGAGATGTTGTCCTGACCGGCCCTGTTATTGCGGGACGTGTCGCCTTCATGGACCGCCCGGTTACTCCGCTGACCTCATTACTCCACTGCTCTCGTCCTCTCTGTGCTGGTGGATCAGTAATGATTAGTGAGGCCGTGAAGGCGGAGGCCACAGCTGAGTGCTGTATTCTCACCCCAGAGCGTCGCGCACATACAGATCGAACAAGATTGACTTCATCAACACTTCGACTGGAAGGACCCCGGGGGGATTTTATTGCTTAATTACAGGACAGTAATAAACTGGCCGAAGCGCTTGGTCATGTTTTTACTGGCCGCTTATTTTTTGTATGCAGGCCTGTAGCTGTGGGTGGGCCTCAGTGGGGCCAGGCCCACTTAATTATACTGCTAGGCCCATCCAGAAAGTAGTCGACGAATAAATTCTGTATAGACTTCACACTTCATCACTCTTACATACTCATACGGTACATATATATTTTTGTTTGACAGGACATTCCAGCCAGTAGCAGTTTTGATTGGAGAAAATATAGAAGAGACATATTTTACTCCTTTTTCTCAGTTCAATATGTTTCCTAGTGCTCTTTGAAAGAAATCTGTGATGAGTGGGAGGGAAAAAACACTTTAATCCAGCTTTTCTGTGGTGTGTTTTGACCTAGTGCAAGGGTCGCAACCCAAATGTTAAGAAGAGCCATTTTGTCCTTTCAAGAAAAATCAAACCGCCTTGGGAGCCACAACATTTTACGTCCATTTTATTGATGTAATGTTTTACCATCTTGGCTGTAAATATGTCTCAGTATGTGCTGATGTCCCAGTGTAGACTAAAAAATATAATATAAACAAAAACACAGACTTACTTTGCTCTGCTTTAAGCTTTAGTTCAGCTATAGCCGCTTTTCTCGCATCTCCGGCAGGAAACTTTTCCGCAAAAGCAGAACAGTTTCTAATAAAATGTCTCTCAACATTTGACTTTTTACGAGGCTGAAATCGCTTCTCCTTCTCCAGCTTCTTGTTCTAATTTTCCCGTTCCACCTTAAATTGCGCCTGAGGTGACAGAATGTAACTGTGGCACCATTTAAGGAGGAACGGGACAATTAGAACGAGAAGCTGGCGAATGAGAAACTGACTTCAGCTTCACGATTTGTTAGTGTTTGTCAGTTTCTCGTTGCAGATTAAACGTATCAGGAAACCAGCTGGAGTGATTTATAAACACAAATAAGTCCATTCGTCTCCAAATTATCAATGTTCGTCTTAAATCTCTCTCTTTGCCTTTTCATTAGCTACTAGATTGTTGTCTGTGTTGCTATGGTGACCAGCAGTCTGCGCTGATCTTCAGGGTTAAAGGGTGAATCAGCAGTTCTACATTAACTCCAGAGTTTAAGACCATTTATTGTTAAACTGTGTTGAACGATCAGCAGAGCTTTATTTTACTGTAAAGGAGGATTATTTTATTTTTACCTACTAATCTGATTCTGCTGTGGAGCCACAACAGGACAGTCAAAGAGCCACATGCGATGAGCTAGTATTTTCTCATCTGTTAAGAAAGGGATGTTTGGTTCTATCTATGATGTTGATCCTATATTTAAATGAGAAGACTCTCATTGGCTGACTCTGTGGGGGGGGTGTGACTGGGCCACAGCATTGTGAACTCAAATCAGATACAGAACACAGCACTGCTGTGGAGGCCCGACTGCCAATCAGGTTGCAGCAGGATGTTTCTGAATGATGAAGGATTCAGGTTCCCTGTTTTTTCACTTTGTGAGAGTAGGGTGGTTTATATAAGCTGTCTTGCTGACTTATCCAGCGCACACAGGAATTTAGTGTTAACGTGTTGCAATGGAGGAGTGAAGCAAGTCGGTCGTAAGTGCGAAGTGTCTTTATGTGGGACAGTCCAGTAATTACTTTCATGACAGGCAAGGGTCAGAGCACAAGCAGGCAACATAAGAGGCAGATTCATACTCAAAAAGAACTTAAATGTCAAAGATTATCTCACCTGTCTTTACCATTACCTGTGTTCGACTTTTTTCTACAGCTGCCAGTACATTTTTCAAGTAATTATAAGGGACGGAGTCACAAGACCTTTAAAGAGTGGGCACTTAAAAAGCTGGTGTCATTTTCGTTACAGCAGAGTGCTTTAAGACAGTACCTTACACATGTAGTGGGCAGTATGGCAAAATATTTACATCACCGTTCTGAATTAGTAGTTCTACAGTTACAGACTGTAGTCCATCTGTTTCTCTGCATACTTTGTTAGCCCCCTTTTACCCTGTTCTTCAGTGGTCAGGACCCCCATGGACCCTCACAGAGCAGGTACTGTTTGGGTGGTGGATCATTCTCAGCACTGCAGTAACACTGACATGGTGGTGGTGTGTTAGTGTGTGTTGCGCTGGTCTGAGTGGATCAGACACAGCAGTGCTACTGGAGTTTTTGAACACCTCAGTGTCACTGCTGGACTGAGAATAGTCCACCAACCAAAAATATCCAGCCAACAGTGTCCTGTGGGCAGCGTCCTGTGACCACTGATGAAGGACTAGAGGATGACCAACACAAACAAAGCAGCAGATGAGCTATCGTCTCTGAGGTGGACTGACAAGGTAGGAGTGTCTAATAGAGTGGACAGTGAGTGGACACAGTGTTTAAAAACTCCAGCAGCACTGCTGTGTCTGATCCACTCGGACCAGCACAACACACACTAACACAACACCACCACGTCAGTGTTACTGCAGTGCTGAGAATGATCCACCACCCACATAGTACCTGCTGTGCTTATTTGTGGCGTACCGGTATAACAGTCATGACAAAACTCCTCCCTGAGGTAGAATTTCAGCCGCTAGACCACCTACTGGCACAACGAGTACTCTGCACAATTCTGGACAGTTGAAAACGTCTTTAAACTTTCCTACTAAATACTAAATTCTGACTGGATGATTAAACAAATGGTTAAATGATTGTGAATGGATGATTAAAAAACAGCCACATGCTAACATGAATAATTATTACGTGAATTTGGTTTGGGTGACGGATCTGTAAGTTTCTATACAGTAAGATTTACAGCAAACTTGCTCCCATAACAGCTGGTCACTTGGTTGAAGTTAATGGGCTGTCATGACTGACCATTTGTTTGGCCGGATTTGGCCTTGATTTTAATTAAACTGCTGTATATTTACATTTGTATTTAATTTTGCTGTTATTTCACCCCTGAAATGGAAACACAAGAAAGAAAGAACAGCTTAGGCTCCAAAATAGACATAACTTATAAATACAGTCAGAAAACTTGTGATAAACCATCATCAGAGCCTTCGAGGAAGGAAGGAGAGATTAACAGAAAACCTCTGTGCGTTTCCTTTGTGCTGTGCTCTGTGTGTCTCCATTAAAATGGATTCTCCAGAAGTCGCATCCTGCTGTGTTTCATTACGTTCCTGTTGCCTTCAGGATCTCGGTGACGTGTAGAAATCCGTACCCCTGTGTGATGGTGCGGCCTGTCAGCGCCGCTGCTCCGGAGCTTTGTAGTGTGTATAAATAAATGAATAGCAAATATGAATTGATTTCTGTGACATTGCTGTTTCGCTCAGTGAGCTGACAGTAAGGACATAATATTGTCTCCTTCTGCTTCCTCGTTCTACCTACGAGCCAAACATGTACAAACACCAACATTCTCCAATAAACACCAACGTTCTCAAATAAACACCACCAACGAACACCAACATTCTCCAGCAAACACCAACATTCACGGATAAACACCAACAAGCACCAACATTCTCCAACAAACACCAACATTCACAGATAAACACCAACAAGCACCAACAAACACCAACATTCTACAACAAACACCAACATTCACAGATTAACACCAACACCAATGTTCTCCAATAAACACAGACAAGTATGAACATTCTCCAACAAACACCAACATTCACAGATAAACACCAACATTCTCCAACAAACACCACCAAACACCAACATTCTCCAATACACACCAAGTATCAGCGTTCTCCAACAAACACCACCAAACACCAACATTCTCCAATAAACACCAAGTATCAACATTCTCCAAAAAAAAATCCTCCAATAAACACCACAAAACATCAACATTCTCCAGTAAACACCAACAAGCACCAAGATTCTCCAGTAAACACCAATAAGTATCAACATTCTCCAACAAACACCAACATTCTCCAATAAGCACCAACAAGTATCAGCATTCTCCAACAAACATCAACATTCTCCAATAAACACCAACAAGTATGAACATTCTCCAACAAACACCAACATTATCAGATAAACACCACCAAGCATCAACATTCTCCAATAAACACCAACAAGTATCAAAATTCTCCAACAAACACCAACATTCACAGATAAACACCAACATTCTCCACCAAACACCAACATTCACCACCAAACATTCTCCAGTAAACACCACCAAACATCAACATTCTCCAGTAAACACCAACGAGCACCAAGATTCTCCAGTAAACACCAATAAGTATCAACATTCTCCAACAAACACCAACATTCTCAGATAAATACCAACAAACACCAACATTCTCCAATAAGCACCAACAAGTATCAGCATTCTCCAACAAACATCAACATTCTCCAATAAACACCAACAAGTATGAACATTCTCCAACAAACACCAACATTATCAGATAAACACCACCAAGCATCAACATTCTCCAATAAACACCAACAAGTATCAAAATTCTCCAACAAACACCAACATTCACAGATAAACACCAACATTCTCCACCAAACACCAACATTCACCACCAAACATTCTCCAGTAAACACCACCAAACATCAACATTCTCCAGTAAACACCAACGAGCACCAAGATTCTCCAGTAAACACCAATAAGTATCAGCATTCACCACCAAACACCAACATTCACCACCAAACACGAACTCTTTGCCCCCCGCCTTTGGTTTAGCAGTGTAGTGTCCTACATGATAGGAGACGAGCTCTGCTGACACTCTTCTGTGAAAACCATCACTCTCTCACAGGAGAATGTAGAGAGAGAGATGGGGGAGAGAAAGAGGCGAGGTAAGAGAGAGAAAGGGAGCTAATGAGCGGGAAGAGAGAAAGAGAGAGAGTTTGAGTGATGGCTCAGATGGAAAAGATCTTGATCTGACATGAGAAGAGATCTCAAAACCTGCGTGCAGAATGATTGAGAGTATGTGTGTATGTATACGTATATGTGTGTGTGTGTGTGTGTGCTGTGTGTGTTGAAAGAGAGAGAGAGAGAGAGACAGAGAAAGAGAGAAGAGAGATTAAAAGCAGTGGAGTTGCTGAAAGTTCCCTGAGGAGGACTGCAGGATCAGCAGGGGTTTGAAGCTCTTTCCCATTATAGGTCCACCAGAGCTTCTCTACTGTCATCTACCCTGAACTGTACAGAGAGAGAGAGAGAGAGAGAGAGAGAGAGAGAGAGAGAGAGAGAGAGAGTTCCTACTGTAGTATCAGAAGTCAGTAAAGAGATGCTTTATCAGGACCACCTGCTTATTTACTTTCTTTCGTCCTTTTCTCTTTTCTTTCTTCTTCTCTTCTCTCTCCCTTCTCTTTCTCTCTCACTTCCTCTCTCTTCTCTCTCCTTTGTCACGATTCTCTCTCTTTTTTCTCCCTCTTTGTGCCAGTTTCAATGTTCTTTCTCTCTCTCTCTCTCTCTCTCTCTCTCTCTCTCTCTCTCTCTCTCTCTCTCTCTCTCTCTCTCTCTGTGTTGTCTGAATGTTTGAACGTTAATGTCTTTATTACTTTGATAATAATGAGTTTTTTATTTTTTACACTGGAATAAATAAACTAAAAAAGTCCATTTTCTGCATTACTGCCTCAAACACAGTTACAGTACAGATTTAATCATTTGATCAGATCCGTCAAAACCTGTTCATTCTTTTCTGGTCAGTTTGGTGACGTTTGCTTGAAGACCCAGATACTGTCATATTTGCTGAATATAGAGTGATTAAAAACAGTGAAATATGTTGATTCATATCAGTTAGATCAGATCAGTAACGAGCATGTGGCTCTCACTTCATCTCTTTGTCATTAATGAATATTGCTAATTCTGCTGTGTCATTCTCTCTCTCTCTCTCTCTCTCTCTCTCTCTCTCTCTCTCTCTCTCTCTCTCTCTCTCCTCTCTCCCTCTCTCCCCCCTCTCTCTCTCCTCTCTCTCCTCTCTCTCTCTCTCTCTCTCTCTCTCTCTACCTCTCTCTTTTTCCCTCCCTCTCTCTCTCTCTCTCTCTCACTCCCTCGTGTCCGTGATTTTGCTCCAGGGGCTGCACAGACGTGCTTTGCTGTGTGATCTTCGTCATCGTCATCCTCGGCTACATCACTCTCGGAGCAGTGGGTGAGTAACGCACTCATTACTGCCAGTTTCATCATCACATCACTTACATAACCCGATCTGTTCCATTCACCAAACCGGCCTGCCGGAGCGGGACAGACTGAGAGGGAGATAAGAACGGCGGGAGCTACTACTGCTGCAGAAATGCGTCAGCTTATCCATCATCTGCATTGATTATGGGATGTTATATTAAACCGGTAATCCACTGTCGAATGTCTGTTACAGTGATTTTCCCACATTGTACCAGAAAATCAAATGTACACAATAGAGCTGAAACAATGTAGACAATAAAGAATCATAAATTTTCCGTTCATGATTCCATTGACAAAGTGACGTCCAACCTAGAGCGAGTGAACGTCTTAGCTTGTATAATCTCCATAGAAAAGCATGACTAATAAGCTCCCCAGACCAAAAATTAGTCACCTTGCATGTTTAAGGTGGTAGTAACTACAGACTCCTGCAGATGGCGCACAAGGATGATCAGGCTATAAATACCTGCGGGGTGTGTGACGGGATTCATAGATTGAGAAAAGGTGGTACAGTGCAGTGAATGTCTCGTTCAATGTGTGGAAAATGGGTCGCAAAGGCGACGTTAATGATTGGCAAAAAGAGTGATTGCATTTGGGCTGCAAAGGCCACAGTGTGAGGGAAGTACGAGGCGTATGGTCATACGGGTCGACCAGCAGTGGCAAAAATCCCAGTCTGCAGGAAATTCCCAGTCTACAGAAGGAATTGTGGCTGAAAGACGAAACTGACGGACTGAGACCGCTGGCATGTTTCACGGCTTGTGAATAAAAACCGCTTCCAGGCAAGAATTGCTTTTTGAAATCAAACTGCACAAGCAGTTTTCTGAAAGAACTCTCCGCAGGGAACAGCATACCATAAACCTACGGAGCAGAGTGGTGCCTAAGAGGCCTTTGCTCGTTTCTGCTCACAGAGTTGCTCGGTTACAGTGGATGAAGAGACACAAACACTGGACTGTTCGTGATTGGAAACGTGTTATCTGGCCAGATGATTTCTGCCTGTATGCGAATGACGCTCAGCGTTGTGTTCATCATAAACCTCAGGAAGCCTTCCGTGAGGACTGCGTGCAGGGTGTGGTTCAAGCTGGAGGCTCTGTGATGTTCTGGGGGTGTTTTAATTATGCTGCGATGGGTTGTTTGGTTGAGGTGACAGTAAATTTGACCCACAGTGCCGGCACTGAGCTGCTGGACACCCAGGTTTTGCCTTTTGCTCATCATCTTACCGGAACATAACGTTCCTATCCCTGAATTCCAAGATGACAATTCTCACATTCACAGGGCTGCAAATGTGACTGATTGACATAAGGAGCATTAACACATCTGGACTGACCTGCAAAATCCCCAGATTTCCTCTTGAATCCTCTTGAAAATCTGTGGGATGACCTGGAACAACGAGTAAGACGCCAAAGAAGGCAGGTTTGCCTTTAATAACGCATTTGGCATTAACTGTGTCTCCTTTCTTAGCAGTGAATACTTTATCTGACTATGTACAGCGGCTTAGTTCTTCAGATTGAGGGAGAATGCGTTGTATATGGTTCTGTTTAGAACCTTTTTTGAAAATGGTTCTATAGCACTAAAAAGGGTTCTTCTATTGTTAGCATGTCATGCTTGTAGCCCTTTTTGGGGCTATGTAGAATCCATCAGTCTGAAGAACCATTTCACCATGCACGGAACCACTTAAGCATGAAATGGTTCTACGCACAACTCATGTTTCTGAATAGAACCTTTGCCTTAATCCTTGCAGAACCATCTTTTTTGCATCTGTAGCGTCCCACTAGCTAGATTTTCGTAAGTCTTCTATGTTAGGCATTAATAGAGATCACATCTGGCACCACAAGATTCATCCTCTTGTGGCTGAATGCAATCAGATTTACACAGCAACGTTCCAACATCTGTAAAGCCCTCCCAGAAGGGTAGAGGCTGTTACCTGCAACCCCTGTTAGGACCCTTGAATGCAGAAGAAACGCTGGAGGAGCAGGTGGTGGATTCAGAGACTCGTGGTTTGCTGCTGCATGTGTGAGTGTCCATCATCAGTGAGTGAAGAGGATACAGATGTTTTGGTTCGTGGTCTCGTCCCTCTCAGCACAGCTGTCTGTGTGAGGAGGAGTGTGTGAGTTAACTGAGCTGATGGAGCAGATCTGCCGGTCGTTCGAGAGTGGGTGTGTGGAAGTCTCGCTCTCTCTCTCCTTTATCTGAAGAAGCCATTCATCCTCCTGTTCGAGTGTAGATCAGACTGAATCAGGCTGAGCTGCACTGATGAGTCTTTGAAGTGCTCGATGAGCTCACGTGACTCCGGAGGGGGGGTGAGATCACTGCTCCTGTATTGTGGTCATCCATAAAGAGACGTAAACTGAGCTGTTGCTGCACTTTATCACGAAAGGAACGTTTATTTTTCGCATCACAGCCTTTATCGCTTCAGTTATTCATATTAAGACTGATTATTCAGTATCTAATATGAATAATTCAGTATCTACTATAAATTATTCACTGCCTACTATGAATTATTCAGTATCTGCTATGAATTATTCAGTATTTACAATTAAATTAATCAGTATCTACTATGAATTATTCAGTATTCACTACAAATTATTCCATATCTAATATGAATTATTCAGCATTTACTATTAATTATTCGGTATCTACTATCTACTACGAATTATTCAGTTTCTGCTATGAATTATTCAGTATTTACTATACATTTTTTCAGTATCTAATATGCATTTTAAAGTATTTACTATTAATTATTCAGTATCTACTATGAAATATTAGGTATTCACTACAAATTATTCTATATCTAATATGAATTATTCATCATTTACTATTAATTATTCAGTATCTACTATGAATTATTCAGTATTTACTATCAATTTTCGATATCTACTAAGAATTATTCAGTATTTACCACAAGTTGTAATGATGCGGTTTCATTGTGTTGAGAAAGATTTTGGAAATAAATTTACACAGAAAAATTTGGATGACTGTTGACTTCAATTGTTTGTTAGTGATGTTAGCCTCTCAGCTCCAGCTTACAACTTCAGAAGCAAAGTTTGGACACCAAACATGTCTCAGCTGATCACGCACATCTGGAGTAAGCGTGAGGAAATTGTGTAAATGTGATTTTGTATCGTATCATTTCTTTAAGGTAGTTTGATTTTCATACAAAAATGAGGGATTTGTAAATAACTTAATGAATGAACTGATTAATGATTATTCTATCGTTTTATTCTCTCGTGCATGTTCAGCATGGATGCACGGTGATCCGCGGAAAGTGGTTTATCCCACAGACAGCTACGGCCAGTTTTGCGGCCAGCAGGGGACGCCCAACGCGTGAGTAGACACTGTAAAACATCATACATGAGCCTATGTGTGTGTGTGTGGGAGTGTGACCAGGCCATTCAGTGTTTTATGTGTGTAAGAGGTGTGTAGATGCGTAAGATGCAGAAGTCAGAGACGACCCCCCCCATTTATTAAACTTAGTCAAAGCAGCTGTTGAGTACAAGTTAATCATTTTTCAGATGAGGAGATTAGATATCAGATAATCCACTTACATGAAGAAGGAGAGAGTAAAAGTGAAAAACCATGAGTTTCCAAAACTGGAGCTCAACAAACTGAGTAAAAGATCTAGAAAACATGAGACTCCTAATAACCACCTGGAAGACCTGGTCGACCCCAAAACTGCCCCCAGCAGATAAACAGCACTTAAAGCTTTCATCTCTGAGAGAGAGGAGAAAATCAAGCTGCTTCAGATCTGAAAACATCCACAGGTGTTTCTGTCCATCCTTCCACTGTGAGAAGACGACTCAGCGCTGTGGGTCTGAAAGGATGTGTAGCTGATCAAGAAGAACCTCACTGAGAAAAGGAGACGGACACATCAAACAAAGAAGCTGAACAATGGACTGACCACCCCAGAGTCCAGTGGGGTGGTCTGCAGATTCTTTGAGGAACTGAAAGTGAGTCTCCTGAAAAGAATGGAAGCTGGAATAAAGGGAAAAAGTGACTCACTGACTCACACAGCTGAGATTGATTTAATTGTTGAGGTTCTGTGTTGTTTTCTGTTTTTTCCTGATGCTGCTAAAGAGTAAGAGGTACTTAATGGCTGTTTAGACCTGAAACTCAATAAAGGAAGGGTCTCTGACTTTTGCACAGTGCTGTATGAGTGCATGACACACAAGTATGTTGAGTAAGTTTGTGATCTGTTTCTCACTTCTTGTGTTGCGGAACTTGTTAGATGTCACTGGTGTATGATAATGAAATGCAGTTTTTACTGTCAGATATTGATGTGTGTGTGTGTGTGTGTGTGTGTGTGTGTGTGTGTGTGTGTGTGTGTGTGAATAATAGATGTGAAACAGTCTGTGTGTGATCAAAAATTCTTTTTCATCTCTTCACACAGAAACAAAGCCATATTGTTCTACTTCAACATTTTACACTGTGCCAACCCAGCAGTTCTCATCAACCTGCAGTGCCCTACAACTCAGGTACAGTTTTAACCCTCCAGGGTCCAAAAACTCACCCACAAAGTCAAATTTAATGTTTTTATATTTGTGTCTGTATCTTTGTCATAATCCAGCACCAGTTCAAACATCTCCTGAATCTGTAGAGTCAGCCTTTCCATTCCATCTTATCATACGTGACTCACATTCAGAGTTATGAGCCTATATATATATATCTATATACATACATACATCATCTAAACCGCTTATCCTTCTGGGTCGCTGGAGCCTATCCCAGCTGTTATTGGGCGGAATACACCCTGGACAGGTCGCCAGTCCATCGCAGGGCAGACAGACAGACATACACATTCACTCCTAGGGGCAATTCAACACATCCAATTAGCTTAACTGCATGTTTTTGGACTGTGGGAGGAAACCGGAGTACCCGGAGGAAACCCACACAGCTATATATATTATACATATATATATATATATATATATATATGTGTATAATATATATAGCAGCGACATATATGTATGTTGCTGCTCTTGGGACAAAACCTTGTGTCTCCAAAATGGTAACTTTACAGGAGAAGGAAAAAACCTTCTGTACTTATAATGTAAGTCAATGGAACCAGACTTTTCCAAGTAATTTTGAGCCACTTCGTTTGGTCCATTTATCATGTAATTTACATACAGTGTAAAGAGAAACGGGCATTTTCAAATTATGTCAAAAACTGAAAAACATCAAAGGTTTTGTTCCGACAGCAGTGATATACATCGTCACTGTCCAAAGAAAAACGTCTCCATTTTTGTCTGTTTTCATTTTTCTACGTCATTTGAACAAGGCAGGTCTTGTTTACATTGTGTGAGAATTTTATGATGATTGGACCAATAGAAAAGCCCCAAAATCAGTTAGAATAAAATCTCTTTACATCAACTTACATCGAAAGTTAAGGGCGTTTTTGCCCTCTCCTGTAAAGTTACTATTTTGGAGATGCTTGTTTTTCTTTGGACAGCGCTTGTATATATATGGTGTCACATATATGGTGTTATATATCATGTTAGCTTCACCTGTTTATTACTGAAAGTCTTTTTCTGTACATATCATATATTGACACTGGTGACCGTGGCTGTTACAGCTAGGCCTTTAATTTGGGCCCTAAATCTCCTTCAGAACATGAGAAAAATAACTCCTCAATGACAATGCTAACTTCTGCTAGCATCCCTATAGGACTCTACTAGCTTGTTAGTGCTCAGTTAACAGTGATTCACGTGAACCTTTTCTGGCGAGGCTGACGTTAGCTTCTCATTTGAATTTTCTGTTCCACCTTAAACGGTGCAGCAGTCACATTCTGGCACGTTCAGGCACTGTATGTAACTGAAGATCATAAACTCCAGTTTTCAGTATCTTTATCTCTCGCTGGTTAATGCTGTTTTTCTTTTTAAAGGGTTTCACTGATCTTGCTGTATTTATAGCTTTCTCTACAGCAGGCAGGGTTGCCAGGTGAAGTAAAAATCCACAGGCCACCGTTTGCTTAAAAGTCACCCACCAGAAGCTGAATCTTTATCAATTTCTACCACGACAGCATTTTCAAACTAGCTCAATTTGGCAGGCAAACCTGGCAACCCTCTCAATCCGCAGCACAGCCAATGAAAGTGGAAGTACGTGATTGCACATAAGCTCCTCTCTTGTAGGTGCGCGTGCTCAGCTCTGATCACAACATGTTTATTTCACCTGAAGGACTCCTGTCTCACATATGGATGGAATGAAAATGAAAATTGATATATAGATATTCACTAACTGACACATCGTCTCTCTCTCTGTCCCTCTCTGTCCAGCTGTGTGTATCCAAGTGCCCAGACAGATTTGCCACATATTTAGACATGCAGTATAACTACAGCAGGAACCGGAGCTACTGGGAGTACTACAGACAGTTCTGCAAACCCGGCTTCGACAATCCAAAAAAGGTACACACTGAGAAAGTCGAGTCAAAGTTTATTTATATATCGCTTTTTACACCAGACGTCGTCACAAAGCAGCTTTACAGAAAATATCCGGGCCCAAAGCCGCCATTAGGGTCACCAGTGGCGACAGCGGCGAGGAAAAACGCCCTAAGCAAGAGGAAGAAACCTTGAGAGGAACTGAGACTCAAAAGAGAACCCATCCTCCTCTGAAAATGTTCTCCTATTCGTGGATTTTTAGTTGTGCTGTTCTCTTATTGGTGGATTTTTAACTGTGCTGTTCTCCCATTGGTAGATTTTAAACTTTACTCTTCTCTTATTGGTGGATTTTTAACTGTGCTGTCTTCTTATTGGTAGATTTTAAACTTTGCTGTTCTCTTATTGGTGGATTTTTAACTGTGCTGTCTTCTTATTGGTAGATTTTAAACTTTGCTGTTCTCTTATTGGTGGATTTTTAACTGTGCTGTCTTCTTATTGGTAGATTTTAAACTTAACTCTTCTCTTATTGGTGGATTTTTAGCTGTGCTGTCCTCTTATTGGTAGATTTTAAACTTTGCTGTTCTCTTATTGGTGGATTTTATAACTGTGCTGTTGTCCTAGTGGTGTATTTTTGCTGTGCTCTTCTCCTATTGGGTGAATTTTAGCTGTGCCATTGTCATATTGGTGGATTTTTAGCTGTGCTGTTGTCTTATTGGTGGATTTTTGGCTGTGCTGTTCTCCTGTTGGTAAATGTTCAGCTGTGCCTTTTGCCTATTGGTAGACTTTTGCCAATGCTGCCATTCTTTTATTGGTGTGTTTATCTGTGATGCTCTCCTTTTGGTAGATTTGTAGCTGTGCCCCTTTACTGTTGGTGGGATTTTAGCTTTGCCATCGTCCTACTGGTGGATATTTAGCTGTGCTGTCCTCTTATTGGTAGACTTTAACCTGTGCTGTTTTCGCATTGGTCGATTTTGTAGCCGTGCTATGCTCTTTTTGGTGGATTTATAGCCGTGCTGTTCTTTAAAAAAGGTTCTTCACACTTATCATTTACAAATATGGTTCAACAAGAAACTACTAACTGAAAGGTTCTTTAGGGAAACAAAAGTGGTTCCCTAAACTGTAGAGAGTAATAAAAGTGTAAACTGTGCAGAGTCAGAGGTGATGAGAGAAGGAGCTGAAGGAGCTGTGAGGAACATCATGAAGTAAGTCCGGACACAGCGTTCCAGAGACAGCAGCAAACGTAGCTGTGCTAACTGTGGAAAAGCGTGCGTGTGACGATGATGTCAGCGCGCTGTAGTGAGAATGTGCACGGACGGCTGTGACTGACTGTGTGTGTCAGCGTTAGCGCTGTGGTGATGCGGTTCGTTACTAACGCAAACCATGACGATGTTTTTCGTCCGAGTCACTGCTTCTTCACGGCTCTTCCCACGCTGTTTCTGGTGTTTCTGGAGCGGAGCAGTGCTAGACTGACACACACACACACACACAAACACCATCACAGACACGCACGTGCAGTTATCTCAGGGCCTCTTAAAAATCTGTTTTCCGCTTTTTTATCCCTTCCATTTAGATCATTCTTCTGAACTGGTTCAAAGTCAGAGTTGAAAACTTTGCTCATGTTGGACTTCAGACTAAAATCCTTTCGCTTTGAGTGACTCTGCAGCTTAATTATGTTGATTTCATTCAAACAGATAATTGAACATGGTATTGTGTCACTACCAAAACAATCATAACTCTACCTAAACTTTACTTTTAGTTCATTTTGAGCTCAAAAACGCAGCCAGTACATGACCAGCAAACAGCTTTGAACAGCTGTACACATTCTTAATGTTCCACAATAGCCACGTTTACATGCAGCCTGATAATCTGTTACTAATCAGACTGATAGCGCAATCAGAATAGAATACATCCATGTAAACACCTCAGTCGGAATAGTCTAGTCCGTTTGAGGCCATTCGGAATATAGTTTCTATCCGATTGATCGAGGTGGGTAATCCTGTAAATAATCCGTTAAATAGAAGAATAATATCCGTGTAAACGCCTGTATCTGATTACATTCCCTATCGGAAAGTTTAAGTCCGTTCTGATCATGTTCGTCACGTCATAGTGAGAGTTTATACCGTTCAACATGGCGGAGCAGAAACTGGTCTGCAGAGGAGACGAAGTTTATGCTCTGATCTTTAAAAGACGGCGGTGGGACGGACGTCCAGCTTATGTGTCTCAGAACACGACGTCTTCCTCTCGGCCTTCTTTAATAAGGACATGTGAAGGACGTTTTCCTGAGTCTGACATCATTTTAAAAAACACAAGCACTGCTCACTGCTGCTCGTCTCACTCTGACTGGACTCACGTGATGCTGGTTGTCATGGTAACGTCTACACTAAGCGGTTCTCTGCACGTGTGTAATTTGGATCGGAGTAGAGTGAGCATATAAAAACCTCAATCTTAATCTATAATCGGATGCATTCAATCGTTGCATGTAAACACAGACACTGATTTTCGGACTTTGGGACACATTTATGTCAAAACAATGGGATCTAACCGCTCACCATGTGGCCATGAGGGACAGGGATGCAGCCTCACTCTAAAATGCAGGGGCGTGGCTAAAACAAAGCCCCACCTACTGACTAAAACTCTTTGTTTCGGTAGTGACATGAAAACATGGGACAGGATTTTTTGAATAAACGTGGATGCATTAGACTGCACACATAAATTTTATCATGTCTTAATATGCTGAGGTTTCTATGTTCTGTAAAAGCAGCGAGCTACTCGAGGCACAGGTGTGTCACCCTGCTCTGCAAAGCCACAGCAACTCAGGGACGCAGGGAGCCTCGTGGCTTTTTGCTCTAAAAGCACAACACAGACAAAACAGGACCTAATTAAAGCCAGCAAGCCCAGACAGATCAGGGAACAGTGTGATTCGGGAAGTTCAGTGAACATTATCACAGTTATATCTTGCCATATATTCTGTCCAATCAGGTGTGACCTTTTACTCATATGACTTTTCTTTACATCTTTTAGTCTGATATTAAATATGTCAGCAGGAATGCTATGCAAACCAGAACTAAAGTGCAACAGTGAATTCATTTTCTGCTTTGGTCTGGACCAAGAGAACCGAGCAACAAGTATAAATGCACCCTAAGTAAATCTGTTTTTGTGTCTTTCTCTCTCAGTCCGTCGCTCAGGTGCTCAGGGATGAAGACTGTCCCTCCATGCTGGTTCCCAGCAGACCCTGTGAGTGAGTTGGTGAACAGTCTTAAAGCAAAAGCTCAACAAAAAGTCAAATTTACTCAGTTTTGCCCTCTTTACCACAAAATAGAGTCAATCAGCCGGGACATTTTTCAGGTCTGAAGGTTTTCTTGTTTGGTTTTAGTGCTGAACCTACGAAGCTAATGTACAATGTTAAAAATAATTCACTGTAAAATGACAGTGAATTACTGGCTGTCAGTGTCAAAGTAATTTACTGAACCATGTTAAAAGTACATAACCGTAAAATAACAGCTGTATACTGTGACCACAGGATTAGTGTGATTAGTGTGATTAATTAGCTGTAATTAAAATATAGTTTCCTGTATATTTACATACCAGCTGTAAAAGTCATTAGCCAGTAATTTATTGTAAACTCACATATGAAAAATCTGACTTTTAATTGCGCCAGACCTACAAATATGTACATTTTAAAAGATGTTAAATAAAATAAAATAAAAACAATAACAACATATTTGTTCCGCATATTTTAAACAGTTTATCTTTGCTCATAACTTGTACCAAAACACGTTTCTATGCTCATTGTCCATTTTATCAGCTCCACTTGCTATATAGCACTGCTGTGTCTGATCCACTCGTACCAGCACAACACACACTAACACACCACCACCACGTCAGTGTTACTGCAGTGCTGAGAATGATCCACCACCCAAATAGTACCTGCTCTGTGAGGGTCCATGGGGGTCCAGACCACTGAAGAACAGGGTAAAAGGGGGCTAACAAAGTATGCAGAGAAACAGATGGACTACAGTCTGTAACTGTAGAACTACAAAGTGCACCTATGTAGTAAGTGGAGCTGATAAAATGGACAATGAGTGTAGAAACAAGGAGGTGGTCAGAATGTTATGCCTGATCGGTGTATTTATGTTAATATATAAATGTGATTTTTGTTGAACTGTCACTCAAAACTCACAAGCAAAGTCTGTGCAGCAAATTAAAGAGATTTTTTTTCCCATCAGTCCTTCAGAGGTGCTTTCCAGATTTCATCACCAGAAATGGGACGCTAACCGTCGCCAACAAAACAGACTTTAAGGACGGTCTAGGTAAAACCCGGAGTGTCGTTGATCTCAGAGACGCTGCCAAGTAAGTGTAAACTCCCCACAGACTCATTCAGTCGCCTTATCACCTAAATATATCAGAGTTATAGCACCCCCTGCAGGATGTAGAGTTGGATGCTTTATCTTTAATAAATAAATTTGTGTTATTAAGTCTAGGCTTTGTTTTGTTCAGTCTGTATTCTTAAGCGTGTCGTCTTTCCCTCCAGGGGAGAGCAGTCAGCTTTATTTGGGTATGACAACCAGCCTCTCGAAGGCCAAGCTGGCCAAACAAAGTCTGGCCTTATACAGCTTGATCATACGCTCAAGCTGTGCATGCCTGCATGAGTTTACTGCTGATTGAGCTGCTCTCTTTGCACAAAACACAAGTCTGACAAACTGCTGTATCTGATAGCAGGATGGCTCTTCTGCCGCTCACTGTTCACTATCAGTGTTGGATAGAACAAGCAGAATCCAAACTGATCCATCCAGGCTCCGCCCACACGCATTCTTTCATAGCTACTGTTGCTAGGTTGGACAAGCTTTACAGAACTGGTATTCATCTTAATGAGAAACTTAGGTTGAATGAATAACCGACTCTAAATGTAGGTATTGTGATATAAACTGAGTCTGTTCTACAGTTTCTCATTAGGCTGAATGAATAACCAGCTCTAAATGTAGGTATTGTGATATAAACTGAGTCTGTTCTACAGTTTCTCATTAGGCTGAATGAATAACTGACTAAATGTAGGTATTGTGATATAAACCGAGTCTGTTCTACAGTTTCTCATTAGGCTGAATGAATAACCGACTCTAAATGTAGGTATTGTGATATAAACTGAGTCTGTTCTACAGTTTCTCATTAGGCTGAATGAATAACCGACTCTAAATGTAGGTATTGTGATATAAACTGAGTCTGTTCTACAGTTTCTCATTAGGCTGAATGAATAACTGACTCTAAATGTAGGTATTGTGATATAAACTGAGTCTGTTCTACAGTTTCTCATTAGGCTGAATGAATAACCGACTCTAAATGTAGGTATTGTGATATAAACTGAGTCTGTTCTACAGTTTCTCATTAGGCTGAATGAATAACTGACTCTAAATGTAGGTATTGTGATATAAACTGAGTCTGTTCTACAGTTTCTCATTAGGCTGAATAGATTTGCTTTTGTGCGTTTGACATTTATGGTGTTCCTGCACCTGTTTTGGTGTTTTTGGTTAACGCTGGTTGGTGTGAATTGTTCTCTTCACTGTGTGAGCTGAGCTTTAACGGGCTGAATGCTTCTCTCCTGTAGCGGGGTCACAGCCATGCAGCAGGGAACTAAAAGGTCTCCGTTTATTTTCTAGCCTTTAGCTCCTGAGCTCCTCTGCTTTGCAGGACTAACCTCCCTCACATGTTACAGCACATTATTTTCTATATTACACACCTAAAAGATACAGAAAGACAAAAACTCTTACAAATAAATGCACCACTGTACCAGGAGAATTGAAGGAGTATTTTGGTGCAAAATCAAAAGGACACAGTTTCCCCCTTTATTCTGAATGTAGTTGACGGATGTTTTGAATAAACAATCTTTATCTTTTGATAAAGTAGTGTTTATTAACCAATAGTAATCTTCACATTGTAAAATAGGCCTTAGCTTCAAACCCTGTTTGTAAAAGGGGTCTCCTGAAGCTTGTGAGGATCTGCTGTGTGAGCAAGAAGAACTGTCCTTGAGATAAGAACCAGCCCTGGAACAGGCGAACTTACAATGCAACCAGTCAAAGCTAATGTCCTTGGGAACTGGAACGTTCTGGCACAGCTAAGATATATTAAAAAAATATATATATCATATCATGTATGATTGGAAATAAGGGTTCCCAAGTGCAGATGTGACAGTTCCCACGTACATGTAAGGTTTGGAAATGATGGGAACTAAGATGGTATAGAATTCCATAGAAAAGGATATAAAAGTGGGTGTTTTTGACATGTTCTTTGCATTGTGGTTGTCCGGGAACCATCTTGCCATCCAAGCTCAATAAAGCAGAGGGCCTTTTTCTTCTTCCACAAGAACTCAGCGGCTGAAGTCTTTTATTTTCTTATGCTTTTTACACTTTTTGACATTTTTCTTATTTTGTTAGAGAAGTTATATTGCGGTTAGCTCTTAAGGTAACAGCATTAGAACACGCTAGGAGGATCCATCTCTGTCCACGGGCCTTGAGCACAGAAGAGAGGCTTTTGGGCCCGACAATCATCCAATCATCAATCAGCCAAGACATGTTTGGCGTCTGAAGTTTGCTTCTTTGTGTTTGCACTGGAGCTTAAAGGCTAATGTAGCTAACAAGTAATGGGGATTAATGGAAGCTTATTATGCTAAATCAGCAAATACCTCCCTCAAACTGTCGAGCCGAGCTGCTAACCTCTTATTCACCAGGGTATATTTTGGTTTTTCCCTCTGATTTTACGTGACCAAATCATAAGGCAAATTATTCAGTAACTGCATGAAATAAATGCAATTTTTTTGTAAAAGCTCCCCTCAAATTAACAGAACATGTGTTTTGATCATAAACATATTGATATATGCTTACAATTTACTGCTGAAAGCCAAAAATCTTAGACGCTCTTTGTATTATTTTATAAAAATAATGTTTACAGAGCAGATCACTGAAGAGACGCCGTCTGTTTATAGTTTATAGCCCAGAAAGCTATAAAGCTATAAAGCTAAGCTGTGGAAAAATGGGTCGACTTTCAGTAGAAAAAAAATGCTGAGTTCAGCTTCTTTTATTATAAGGGTTTAAAATTACATCACCCATCTATTTGACTGGAAAGAAGACAGTTACAGCCTCATACGACCCCCACCTTTAGAATGTAGCTTATGAAATATGAAAGTTATGAAGATATGACGAAGTGCGTTTTGGAACCACCGCTGGTCCCAGTGGACTTGCTTGTTTAGCACTGGAGCTATGAGACTAATGTTTGGTGTCTGAAGTTTGCTTCTTTAGTTTTAGCTCTGGAACCACAAGGCTAACGCAGCTAACAAGTAATGGAAGCTTATATCTCACGGAATAGCATGGTGCTAACTGCTGGCCTATATCATCACACACTTGCCTCAAATCATGTCGAGCTGTTAAAATCTGTAGTAGACTCGGCTGCTTAGCATTATGTGGCTATGAGGCTAATGTAGCTATCAAGTAAGCTAAGCTTATAAGCCCACCAGTTAGCTCTGTGCAAACCACGCTGACTCGCTTACATGGTTTCTGACACTCAGTGCATCTATAAAATGTTAGCATAGCTAAAAAACAGTATTAGCAGCATCTTGAAACCTGAATTTTGTCCAAATTTGAGCCAAGTGTGAGACGATGTTGAGGCTGGGGTGGGGTGTAAGCTTCTATGTTAGCTACATTAGCCTTGTAGCTAAATCAACGCTTGAATTTTTTTCCACTAAACTATGTTTTAATAATCAATGCAGACAGTTATAAACTGTTTCAGTTAAACTACAGTCGTGCAAATTTACGAGAGATACAGGGTTAGCAGGCTTATTACTGCAGGAATATTGTCCTTAAAACAGGGAATTATGAAACAAGGAGAGAGTGAAAGTCTATGAAATGATAAGCTATGAAGTAAGGAAATAAACCTAATATTCAGAATGAAATTCTAATAAAATTAATATCCAGATTGAAATTCTAATATTCATAATTAACCTGCTTTCTTAAATAAACCTGCTTTTGCAACAATTGCAACCAAAATTTGTCACTTAATGGTTTTAGTCAGTTTGTTTAACAGAGAGAACCACATTGTGTGTGTTTCCATGTGCTTAATAATCTGATAACTGCAGAAAATCTGATTTTGTCAGTAATCTGATCAACAGGTTTATTTGCTCTTGAGTAAGCAGATAATGGGAAAACTCCAGGTCTACATGAGTCAGGCAGTAATCGGATTTATAACCAGCCAATAAACTCACAGAAGAAGACGTGATGTAAACGTAATGTGAAGTTAATTGTCATTTCATGGCTTTTTTTTTATTCTAAATTACTTTAGCTGGTAATATGAATATACATAATTTAAAAGATGATTATTTAAATCCTTCACTTCGTCAAGCATATAGTCGGTTTTAGCGTTTCCCCAAAAGTGATGTGTTGCGTCTCGCAGTTGCTGTGTTAAACGCTGCTTGATTTTTCCAGGACAGCGCTCTGTTTTCACACATGCACAGACTGAGAGAAACGAAAGAAATCAGAGTAAGAGTTCGCATGCACTGAGAAACCCCATTACTGAGCTCTAATCCAGCCTCTATGTCAGATTTCTTAATTTCTAGGCCTTAAGCCGTTCTAAGCAATTCGAGTGTGCTGTTTACACGGCAACTTGGATAATCAGATAACTGCCAAAATCTGATTATGGTCAGATTATTAAGTGCATGTAAACACATTCATTAATGAAGCTTGTTGTGAAGGGTTCTTTCATAGACGTAAGAGTAGTGTGTCCTAAACACTTGTTGTCTTCCATCATCAGTCTGTCCATAATCGTAGATTAAACAGCCTCGTTTGTAGCTCAGTTACGTACAAATTATCATTAGGAAAAACCAACACATCTCTAAATCACTGATCTTTCCTCTGTTCAACCAGTAACGCTCATGCTAAACATCCTCCCGGTTGTTTTAGGCCTGTAGTGAGCAACAGCGGAGTGACGTGTATGCTTGGTGGTTAGCGCTAATGCTACTGCGTGAGTGACGTTTAAAGCAATAGTTTGGCAAAATGTCACATTTGCCTAATTTTCCCCTTTTTACCCCAAATCTAGACAGTCATCCAAGACTATCGCTTTAAAGCCCTTCCACACCAGTCAAACACCAACATGCTTATGTTAGACGCTGGCAGTTCAGTGTTCCAGAAACAGAACTGGAGTGTTAATGAACCATTGTGAGTGAGGGAAGACTTCTAGAACAGTGTAAATGCGTGAGAACATTCTAGAGCAGATGAAACGTGGGAGAACATTCTAGAACAGTGTGAATGGGCAGACATTCCAGGACAGTGCAAATGGGGGAGAACATTCTAGATTGGGAGAACATTCCAGAACAGAGTATTCTAGAACAGTTTGAATTGGGGAGAACATATTAGAACAGTGTGAATGAGGGAAACATTCTAGAGCATTGTGAATGGGGGAGAACATTCTACAGCTGTGTGAATGAGGAGGACATTCTTGGTGAGAGAGAACAGTCTAGAAAGTCTAACTTGGGGGAACATTCTACAACAGTGTGAGTGGAAGAAACATTCTAGAACAGGGAGAACATTTTCGGTGGGGATGACATACTAGAACAGTGTAACCGGGAGATCATTTCTGATTGTGAGAACATTCCAGAACAGGGTGAATAGGGAGAACATTCTTGATGAGAGTGAACAGTGAGAACAGTGGGAATAGGGGAGGACATTCTGGATGGGGAGAACATCGTAGAACAGTGTGAATGGGAGAGCATTTTTGATGGAGGAGAACACTGTAGAAAAGTGAGAATGAGGGAGAACATTGTAGAACAGCATAAATAGGGAGGACACTCTAGAACAGTGTGAAAGAGGGAGAACATTCTAGAGGCTCCAAACAATCTCACGCAGACACCCTCACTATAGCCCATTGTTTGAATTTGTTGGTGTTTGTTTGGTCAGAGTGGAACTGTTCTAGACTCCACGCTCACTCCACTGAGCTGTACGTAGAGCTTCGTGTGCTGGTAGTGTTAGTGGTGTAGAGTCAGTGTAACATGCTGAGGTGACCTTTACTGAGGTCTAATCACTGTGTTTTCACTCCTGCAGTGGCATCGCCAGCCTGCTGGACGCCAAGGAGGTGGGCACCAAGATCTTTGAGGACTACGCGAGCTCCTGGTACTGGATTTTAATGTAAGACATTTCTTATATTTACAATTATAAATGAACTGAGGTTTGAGCAAAATTATTGCTGCATAACATTATATTACAAAATTCAGGCTTCTAGAAAGCTGCTAACTAATCATAGCTGTGTGATGTATTTCGCTTATTACGTGTCTATTAATGTCTTGGGTTTAAATAGATCAGAGCATAATCCTTGTAAATATGCAAGGTCTGAATACTTCAGTCTATATTTATATGAATACTTCATGCAAATAAATACATATGACTGTATGTATATAATATACGACTGTGTATGTAAAGCTTAAAACGTGAAATGTATGACTCAATATTGACAAATATTGGAAATTAATACAATCTCAACTGGTGTTTGGAATGTATGGTGATAACAACATCATAATGAGAATTCCTGGTCATGTGATGTCACGAAGTATTTGTCCTTTCAAAGTAAAAGACCCTTTTTCCACCGTTAAATAGGAAAACACAGATTTTATATTACTGCTTTTTATTAAAATTGTGATAAAGTAATTGTTGCCATATGGCAACACCGTGCAATAGAGCTCAGCTCTGACTTTGAACCAGTTCAGTAGAATGATCTGAACTCTTTACAGTGAGTGAAAATTTCGTGATGAATGGACCGAAAGAAAAGATCCAGACTTCGAATCACGTTGTGTCACATTAACTTACGTTAAAGCTAACAGCGATTTTTCTTCACCTGTAATGTTACAGGAGGAGTATTAAAATGAGAGAATAAATAAAAGCAGTGATGGAAAGCAGAGATGGACTGATGAATTGAGGTATGAACCGTGTGTTGTGTTCTCCTCAGAGGTCTGGTCATTACTATGGTGATCAGTCTGCTCTTCATCCTCTTGCTGAGGTTCACTGCAGGAGTGCTGCTGTGGTGCGTCATCTTCGGAGTGATCGCTGCGGTGGGATACGGTGGGTGTATATACACACACACACACACGCACACACAGCTGCGCATGTAGGCAGTGATATGCTGTAAACAGAGAGCGAGCCGTACTGTAAGAGCTGATTCAGCGCAGTGTAATAATTCTCCACTGTGCTGTTCCAGTGATGCTGTTAGTTCACAGATAAATACTGTAATATTCCTTCAGCTGTTAGATTCATTGATGCATAATAGATCTGTGTGTGTGTGTGTGTGTGTGTGTGTGTGTGTGTGTGTGTGTGTGTTCTGTGCTGTGCTGTTTATTAATATCTACTGTAAACGCTTTTAAAGCTTTTGCTGTAAATGAATGGGATTATAATGAAACTGAACATGAACCTTTGCCTTATCGGTGTCTCTCTCTCTTTTTCCTCTCTCTCTCTCACTGCCTCTTTTCTCTTACTCTCGCTATTTCTCTCTTTCCTGCTTCTGTCTCTTTCCCCTCCCTTTCTATCTCTCTCTTTCTCCCTCTCTTCCCTCTGTTTCCCCTATCTCTTTTTTTTCTGTTGCCTTACTTACTTTTTCTCTCTCTACACTCTCTCTCTCTCTCTCTCTCTCTCTCTCTCTCTCTCTCTCTCTCTGTCTCGTCTTTTGGTCTCTCTTTTCTCTTACTCTCTTCCTTCACTTTCCCTCTTGTCTTACCAACACTCTCTATTTCTTTCTCTACACTCTGTCTCTCTCTTCCCTCTCTATTTCTCTCTCTCTCTCACACACACTCTCTGTCTCTCTGCACTCTCTCTCTCTCTCTCTCTCTCTCTCTCTCTCTCTCTCTTTGTCTCTATCTCTTCTGTTTTACTCTCTCTTTATTTCTTTCTCTCTCATGCTTTCTGTTTTGTCATTCTCTCTCTCTCTCTCTCTCTCTCTTGCTGTCTGTTTTTTTTGTCTTTCTCTCTCACCCTCTCTCTCTCTCGTCTTACTTTCTCTCTCTTTTTGTCTTACTCTCTCCCCTTTCTTTCTCTCTCTCTCTCTCTCTCTCTCTCTTTTTTCTCTCTCTCTCTCTCTTCTGTCTTACTCTCTCTTTATCTCTCTCTCTCTCTTGCACTCTCTCTGTTTTGTCGTACTCTCTCTCTCTCTCTCTCTCTCTCTCTCTCTCTCTCTCTCTCTCTCTCTGTCTCTGTCTCTTCTGTCTTACTCTCTCTTTATCTCTCTCTCTCTCTCTCTCTCTCTCTCTCTCTCTCTCTCTCTCAGGTATCTGGCACTGTTATTGGGAGTATGTAGCTCTGCGGGGGAAGCCCAACGCCGATGTCACTATTTCTGATATTGGCTTCCAGACGGATTTCAGGGTTTATCTGCAGCTGAGCCAAACCTGGCTGATCTTCAGTAAGACTTTATTTTACTAGAGCGCCACACAGAGCGGCTCTTAATGACCGTTTTCACTCAGGGTCCCTACAGGCTGACCGCCTGTCTGTAACGACTGGAAGTCAGACGCTTTAATTAGAAGAGAAACCAGGACAGCGTTTTTCTCAGTAAGATGAGATTAAAGAGTCTGTAATCCTGGACAGTATGGTTGTGATGGTGTTTAGCCCCGCCCACTAGACCCACAGCACTTTAACCCTACCCAAACTTTTATGTGTTTTTTGGGGGGGTTGGGGGGGGGTTGGGGGGGGGGTTGGTAATACAAACAATGATGCCTCAGTTAAAATAAGCCTGGATGATTTTAGTTTTTAGTAACATTTTCTAATTTTAGTGACAAATTTGTATCACTGCAACATAGATTCACAACTTTTCTTCTCACTGATTGATTATGTTGGTGTATTATTGATTGTGTTGGTGTGTTATTGATTAATAGTGTGTTATTGATTGATTGTGTTGGTGTATTATTGATTGTGTTGGTGTATTATTGATTGTGTTGTGTGTTATTGATTGTGTTGATGTGTTACTGATTGTGTTGGTGTGTTATTGATTGTGTTGGTGTGTTATTGATTAATGGTGTGTTATTGATTGTGTTGGTGTATTATTGATTGTGTTGATGTGTTATTGATTGTGTTGGTGTGTTATTGATTGTGTTGATGTGTTACTGATTGTGTTGGTGTGTTATTGATTGAGTTGGTGTGTTATTGATTGTGTTGGTGTGTTATTGATTGTGTTGGTGTGTTATTGATTGTGTTGGTGTGTTATTGATTAATGGTGTGTTATTGATTGAGTTGGTGTATTATTGATTGTGTTGATGTGTTATTGATTGTGTTGGTGTGTTATTGATTGTGTTGATGTGTTACTGATTGTGTTGGTGTGTTATTGATTGTGTTGGTGTGTTATTGATTGAGTTGGTGTGTTATTGATTGTGTTGGTGTGTTATTGATTAATGGTGTGTTATTGATTGTGTTGATGTGTTACTGATTGTGTTGGTGTGTTATTGATTGTGTTGGTGTGTTATTGATTAATGGTGTGTTATTGATTGTGTTGGTGTATTATTGATTGTGTTGATGTGTTATTGATTGTGTTGGTGTGTTATTGATTGTGTTGATGTGTTACTGATTGTGTTGGTGTGTTATTGATTGTGTTGGTGTGTTATTGATTGAGTTGGTGTGTTATTGATTGTGTTGGTGTGTTATTGATTGAGTTGGTGTGTTATTGATTGTGTTGGTGTATTATTGATTGTGTTGGTGTGTTATTGATTGAGTTGGTGTGTTATTGATTGTGTTGGTGTGTTATTGATTAATGGTGTGTTATTGATTGTGTTGGTGTGTTATTGATTGTGTTGGTGTGTTATTGATTGAGTTGGTGTGTTATTGATTGTGTTGGTGTGTTATTGATTGTGTTGATGTGTTACTGATTGTGTTGGTGTGTTATTGATTGAGTTGGTGTGTTATTGATTGATTGTGTTGGTGTATTATTGATTGTGTTGGTGTGTTATTGATTGTGTTGGTGTGTTATTGATTGTGTTGATGTATTATTGATTGATTGTGTCTTTTGTCAGTGATCTCTCTGGCGGTGATAGAGGCTGTGATCATTATGATGCTGATCTTCCTGAGGAGGAGAGTCCGCATCGCCATAGCTCTGCTGAAAGAGGGCAGCAAGTACGTTTTTCACAGCCTTTACAGAGTGAAGGACATGGAAACTTTGTTAATAGTTAGCACTGCTGTTCTTTCAAGACCTCATAACTTTTTTTAATTGAAAACACCAACTGTTTTGTATATTGTGTGAATATTTCATGATCAATGGACCAATAGAAATGGTCCAAATAAGTGTACTATATAATCTCATTAAATTTAATAAAAATAAAAAATAAATTAAAAATCTTATCTGAAAAGTGAACATTTGGTAGATGTTATGACAGCAATACCATTTTTCATGTCACTAGCACTTAAAAGTTTGAAATCACTTGCCATATTTACAGTTTTTGGTGTTTTTTACACATTAAAAAATTAAATTTGACACAATGTAGTTTTAGACATTTCATTCAATATTTCAAAAATATATGGAAATGAAGAGCAAAAATCACTAGTCACTATAGTCACTATGTTATACTACATTATGCAGTACAAATATAGTACAATATACTGACTATAAAGGTTTTGAAGTATAAAACTATTATATAATTAATACCATATAGGATATTTGTACATATACATATGAACTGTAACTTTACTAAGTTCTCTCTTTCTCTCTCTCTTTCTCAGGGCTGTCAGCTACATCATGTCGACTCTGTTTTATCCCATCATCACTTTCCTCTTGCTGGCTCTCTGCATAGCGTACTGGGCTGTGACGGCCATGTATCCTCTCTGACTGTGTGGGTTTTGATAGTGTTATAAAGTTTCAGTATAATGTTGTTTCACTGAATCCTTAACCTGAGCTGCCCGCAGTTTCTTGGCGTCGTCCGGTGATGCCGTTTATAAAGTGATGTCAACACAACCAAACTGTAAATACACCAACATCACCTGCAACCCTGAGGTAAAATACACTGTTTAACCCTGAATACATCATTACAGACATTACCGGTCAAACACAGTAGAAGTTACATTATACAGTCGCATGTAGAGCTTTTTTTGATTTTATATGCTAAAATAAGTTAAACACATCGTTTACAGGGAACTTAAATATGACGTTTTTCTGTAAATTTTACTGCACATTTTTACTTATTTGCTGGGTTTAACAAACTGGAAAAAAATGTAAAATGTTAAATGTGCCATAAGTTTCGCAAAGGTCATAGTATATATATATAGTATATATATATATGTATATATATATATATATATATATATATATATATATATATATATTTTTTTTTTTTTTGTCCAGTGTGCTAAACTCTGCAAGTATTGCAGTAATACTCTAATTTCACTTTTAGGCTTTTATTATAAATCATTTATTATTTATTATAGATTATAAATAAAAACAAAAAAAAAGCTGCAAAAGCAGTTAATTTTGTATTCATTGTTTTTAGGACCAACACAATTACACTTATCCGCCTTTTATAAGTGTAACAGCAGTTTAGCCCCGCCCACTCACACTAAGGTTATAAGAAGTGTTTAATGTTTGTGTGTGTGTATATACATATATATATTTATATATATTTATATCTGTGTGTATATGTATATATATGTTTGTGTGTTTTGTGTTCCAGACGTTCGGTCAGTCTAACGTCAGCCGGGTGTGTCCAGGCTCTCAGTGTACGTTTGCGTTCTACGGCGGTGAGAGCGTGTACCACCGCTACATCTTCGTCCTGCAGCTGTGTAACCTGCTGGTCTTCCTCTGGCTCGTCAATTTCGTCATCGCTCTGGGTCAGTGCACGCTGGCCGGAGCCTTTGCCTCATACTACTGGGCCCTGAAGAAGCCTGCGGATATCCCAGCATGCCCTCTGGCTGCCTCCTTCGGCCGGGCCATCAGGTTTATTTTCTATTTGTGTCCCACTGTGATGCGCATTGACACGGATCTGAACTGCATTCAGTTTAAAACTTTATTTTGGCTATTAACAATATGCTTATATATATGTATGCTTATATATGTATATATATATATGGATAGATAGATAGATAGATAGATACATAGATAGATGTAGATATATGTGTTTTCTCATTATTTATTATTAATCATAGATAATAATTGTAAATATATATACACTTTTTGCAATGGCAATTAAGTACAACAGTATCATTATTATTATTATTATTATTATTATTATTATCATTATTATTATTATCATTATTATTATCATTATTGTTTGATTTAGTATTGCTTATGTTTTTTGTGGCAGGTATCATACGGGTTCTTTGGCTTTTGGTGCATTAATCCTCTCCATAGTGCAGTTCTTCCGGATTGTTCTGGAATACCTGGACCACAAACTCAAAGGTCAGTGACACTGCAGTTGTTTTTCTTTTATCACATTATATTTTTTCATACCATTCAATATTGGTAATAATTGATGATCATCATTTGCAGTTACACACTGTTCTGTTTGAAGTCTGATAAGTATTCAAATAAAGCCTTATAGTGTTGCATATAAAAAAATAACTAACAATAAAGGCAAATTATTCAGAGCTCTGGGTATTAAAGCTAGCGTGGCTGAGCTTTAGCATGCGCTCGGGTATTTTGAGCATCTTAAAACCCTTCACTGCCTTTACTACTTTTTATTAGGCAGAGAAAGAAAGGCAGCTACTTAGAGCCCAACATGAAAATACAGATTATTTACATTGTGTGTATGCTGATGTTAAAATACCTGATCTGAACTATATATACATTATAAAAATAGCTGTCATTTCTGATAATAGCGATTATTTTTAGTAATGTCAACGCAGCCCTATCATCTGATGGTTAAAATGGACTGTTCCATGTTGTTATGTGATGACACAACTGCGTGAAGACTGGGGTTAAAGGCTACGTTCACATTACCAGGTTGAAGTGGCACAAATCTGATTTTTTGCCCTAATGTGACTCAGATCTGATGTTTTCGGAGCTGTGTGGACACAAATCTGATCTTTTCAAATCCAGCTTGAGCTACTTTCATATGTGGTCCTAGATCAGATACGTACGTATTTCAATAAGGTTTTATTTAAACACAAAAAATAACTGAAATTAACTGAAAATTCTAACAACTAGGCAAATAGTAAGAATTTAAAAACTATTAAGTCATTAATTGAAACATATTTTCTTATTGTTATAAAGCATTAAAAAATATCAGAGATAATACTCGATAAAATATTGGAAATATTCATTACTTGCCGTCCCAGATTATTATAGTCACGGTTCTCTGGAGCAGCACTGCGTGTTCGTCGGTCTCGGTGCAGACTCTGTTGTGAGTGTGTGAGCAGAGAGAGGAGAGAAGAGTCTTTGTAGTGTAATTCTCCAGATGTTTGAGGTCTGTCTGGGGGGATTGTGCTGTGGATAATGACGAGTGCTTTTCCTGATCTGCTGTTCTCCTGCGCCGTCCCAGGTGCTCATAACGCGTTTGCACGCTTCCTGCTGTGCTGTTTGAAATGCTGCTTCTGGTGCCTGGAGCGTTTCATCAAGTTCATGAACAGGAACGCATACATTATGGTGAGTTTCATTCAGACAGGCTGCTTTTAGGTGCAGGTGTTTCTTTTGTGTGTAGTTTAGTGTTTTCTCTGCATACATGCACTGATTCAGGTCATTAGCTCAACCAGCAGCCCCATGTGAGATGAAGGGGATGTGTTAGAGCTGAGAAAGCGCTAATGCTGAGGTTTAAGGGGATTGAGAATCACATGCGTAGCTTTATATTGCATGAATGTGAAAGTCTTTTGTTTATGAAGAATTATGATCGTTAAAAAAAGTTTCCTTTTCCTTAAACCAGTATGAGAATGGGTCGAATGATGTTTAAAGAGCCCATATCATGGAAAACCAAACTTCAAAGGGACTTTTAGGTGACTTTTTTAAAGATTTTGATGAAATATGTAACCATGTTTAACATATTTAAACATACTGTTCACTCGCCAGTCCATACAGACTGTACGTGGATATTAGGTCACAAAACAGGCTGGTTTAAACTGGTTGTTTGTGATGTCGCAAGAACCAGACCATTAACATTTGTCCGCCTATTTAGCCTACTGAAGTTTAGCCCCGCCCACTCACACTGTTATAAGGAGTGTTTCAGCCCTGCTTTTTAAATGATGCACCACACAGGGCAGCCAATCACAACAGAGCTCATTTACATGTCAGTTGTAAAGGCACAGTAACAAAAACAGCCTGTTTAATTCTAAGGGATAAAAAGTGGTTTGAAAATTGTCAGGTAAAAATGAATATTGACTATTTTATATATATATATATATATATATATATATATATATGAATCAGCATATGTGCTATGAAACAACATGTAGTTATGTTATAACTGAAGTTTGGGGGGAGGAACATGCCTGAAACCCCTCCTTCTTCCAATCTAACACCCTATAATTTCACATCCTCACCTTCTGTTCCCATGACGAAGTGTTTGCAGTCCCACCGCCTCCCCGTCTCCTCCCTGTTCCTCAGTCATACATTAGATCTACCACAGCTATGAGGGGGTCCGGCCTTCTAGCTACAGGCAGAAGCTGCCCAGAACTCCAGCCCAAGTTCTCAGAGTTCTCCCCCTCCCTCAATCAGTCTTCCCTCATACTACCACCGCCATGTTGAAGGCACAGTCTGAACTCACAAATATACATATTCAGACAAGTAAGGAAAAATTCAGAATACAGAATGGCTTCTACTAGGGGTGGGCAATATGATCATATTTTATCATTATCATGATAAATCATGTCACAGTACACTTTTCTGAGCTAACTACATGTTTCCTTCACAAACTGACAAACTGAGCATAATTAGGCCTGTTTAATTGGATTTGCAGCAGTACGTTTGTAAAACACTGAATAAAAATCATTGTAGTTATTATTACTATTATTATTATTATTAATATTATTATTGTTGTTGTTGTCATTGTGTTTTATATGTGCCATACAGGTTCTATTTTGTCTGTTCCAACTACCTAAATATTGTGATGCATATTGTGTATCATGAAAATGCTTTGAAGTATTGTGATATAACCATCAGCCCAGCTTCTACAGTTTTAGCTCTGATAATGTACTTTAGTTCATGTTTATAGGTAACAGTGCATCTTACAGTGTCAGAAACCACATAATCAGGCCTATTAGAGATACTGAACAACTACACACAATTTGAGGCAAATGCAGTTAGCATGATGCTAATTGCAACATTAGCCTCATAGCTTCAGTGCTAAAACTAAAGAAGCAAACTTCATACACACGTCTCAGCTGATAGATTGTACAGGAGGGGAGTTTGATTCAGATTTTTTAGCACTTAAATGAATAATATCTCCTGTGATCAATAGCTTTAGCACTATTATTCTGATACTCAAGTGCCGACTGAACTGAAATGAGGCACAGCCGGATCTGTATTCCCCCACTGATTGGTGTGTCGTGCTGAATCTCCTCAGATTGCGATTTATGGGAGGAATTTCTGTGCCTCAGCGAGAGACGCTTTCTTCCTGCTGATGAGAAACGTGGTGAGGTAAGAGCATTTCAGAGAGATCACGCCATCGCGCCTTTTTCAGGACTTATCATCAACAGACAGTGTGAAGAAGGCTTTTCCAATAGAGAACACTAGAGAGAGAATACAGCACTGCAATGGTTTAATTTTCCATTTTTGCTTTTGTTATAGTTTTAAATTATAGTCTTTCTTTTAATACCTTGTATTTTTTTATTTATATTAGCCTGTATTTTTTTTTATTCCTAGTTTAATTTTTTTTTGTTTATGCACGGTTAGGTATGCTACCCCGTTCCGTTGTACCCTGTGTAATGACAATAAAAAATCTTGAATCTGTACGGACTGAAGTACGGGTGAAGTTCGGACTGAGCCATAAAACTGACACAATATCAAGTTCAGCTCAGTTTTGTCAGTTTTTGCCAGATGAGTATTAATGTTGTTTTGTTCCAGCCAGTCTGTAAAGCATCTTACAGCCCATTTAGTTTGGCGAATGGTGTTGGGTTCATTTCTGGCTGATTCCAGGTTGTTCAGCTGTTCTTCTGTCACAGCTGCCGACTGAAAAGCTGCTCAGTGGTGATGACAGTTTGGGAATTTAGTGTCGTCTCATCTTCAGAGTCTGACCAAATCGGCTGTCGGTCAAATGTGATCTTAAAAGTGTCCATTTTCTGTTTGTGGCAAAGTAAGAAGTAAAAACGTTCAAATGTCTTGAGCGTCTCCTACAGCTGTCAAAGTCAGCAACAGCGTCTCAGTGGAGTGATACAGTATTTGTGAAAAACCCGTGATGTTATGGTGAAATGACAGCACAGTTAGAACGCCTCTCAACCAATCAGGTTGCGTGGCTGGAAGTAACTGTTTTATAATAACATCTAATTATGAAGTGTGTGTGGATATAAAAAATGTATTTGATTACTAGTAGATTAGTAGTTTTCAGTAGTCAACTTATTTACTTATTTACTCATTTATTAATACTTGTACTTGTGCTCGAGTAAATGTTCACTACAGTATCAGTAATTTTCAGTACTTGTTCCACCCCGGTACTACGGTGTGTATGTGTGTTTCTTTGTTTTGTAGGGTGGCCGTGCTGGACAAGGTCACTGACTTCCTGCTGTTTCTAGGGAAGCTGCTGATTTCGGGGAGCGTTGGTATGTTTCTCTTTCTCTCTCACATATATATTTATGATAGGCACTACAGAGGGTTTAGGGAAATTTTGGGTTTTGCCCACCTACTTCAAAGCCAAATGGCTTTGGTCTCATCTCATCTGCACATTTAACCTAAAAAAATGTCGAGTGTCCTTCTTTTTCTTTGCCTTGCAAGGCGGGTCCCTGAATTATATTTGAGCAGTTGATCAACCCGAACCCCCCCATAGCAACCACCTAGCAACACCCTAGCAAACAGTAAGAATACCTTAGCAACTGCCTAGCAACACCCTGGCAGTCACCTGGGATACCAAAGCACTGACCTAGCAACACCCTAGTAACCATCTGGGAGACCATAGCAACTGCCTAGTAACACCCTAGCAACCATCTGGGATACAGTAGCAGCTGCCTAGCAACACCCTAGCTTCCTCGGTTTCAGCAAGCTGCCAAGAACTTCTGCCCAGGTTTCTCAGAGTTCTCCCCTCTGTCCCAAGCTCAGCTTCCGGCACCGTCCAGGTGCACGAGCCAGATGTTTACTACATCACAGACATTCAGTGGGAAAATCTGAATTCTGCACTATAGCAACACGTAATTAGGGGGTCTTTAAATACTGTAATCTCTCTCTGACCAACGCAACATTCTGTGTTTCAGGCGTCCTCGCGTTCTTTTTCTTCACTCGCAAGATACCGGTCATTCAGGAGGAAGTGCCATCACTAAATTACTACTGGGTCCCCCTGCTGGTGAGAGAGGAAATTACACACATACACAAACACGCCATCCACAGGTTTCGTCTGTCTCCGGTTTAGGTTTCCTGATGATTCTGTGTTTGTTTTCTTGCAGACTGTGATTTTTGGGTCCTATCTGGTTGCCCATGGGTTCTTTAACGTCTATGCCATGTGTGTGGACACACTTTTTCTCTGCTTCTGTAAGTATCCTGGCTTCAGTTCGTATATGTAGCACAGGAGAACAAGTTGGTAAATGTAGCTGAATTCCAAACAACAAAAAAATTCACACTGAATTTTGCACCAAAACCTGGTTTTATTTCACCTTCTTTTACACTTAATCAGCGTACTGTCCTACGAAATTGAGCTGCACAGCTTCATTTTCATTCCAAAGCAGGAGAGGTAGAGGTACAGGGTAGGTGTTTCTAATAAAGTGGCCAGCTGGTGGAAGCACAAGGTAGGTGTTTCCAATAAAGTGACCAGTGAGTAGAAGCACAAGATAGGTGTTTCTAATAAAGTGGACAGTTAGTGGAAGCACAAGATAAGTGTTTCTAATAAAGTGGCCAGTTAGTGGAAGCACAAGGTAGGTGTTTCTAATAAAGTGACCAGTTAGTGGAAGTAGAGGGTAGGTGTTTCTGATAAAGTGGTCCGTTGGTGGAAGCACAAGGTAGGTGTTTCCAATAAAGTGGCCAGTAAGTGTAAGCACAAGGTAGTTATTTCTAATAAAGAGGCCAGTTAGTGGAAGCACAGCGCAGGTGTTTCCAATAAAGTGGCCAGAGAGTTTAAGTTGTAGAACCTAACTAAACTTTAACCTGGCACTGTTGGGATCTTTTTCTGTCCTGAAACTTAACTGCCTCTTTTCTTGCTTGGTGTCCTTTTAATAAAATTGATCTTACATCTTAATCTCGTAACTTTCCCGTCACATAAAAACACAGATATAATTTGATTTCTTCTTCACTTTTAATTCTATAATCTAACCTCACTGTCTTCTTTCTTTCTTTGTCTCTCTCTCTGTCTGTCTTTCTTCCACTCTCCTTTCTCTTTTCTTCGTTCTGCACACTCTCTCTCATCTCTGTTCTCCTCGTGATGGAACGTGTTTCAGGTGAAGATCTGGAGAGAAACGATGGATCTGCTTCCAAACCGTACTTCATGCCTGCAGGCCTTCATAAAATCCTAAAGAGATCTGATCAACCTGCCAAAAAATACTCCAGATCCTGAGACACTCTCTCTCTCTCTCTCTCTCTCTCTCTCTCTCTCTGTAATCAGATGCACACTGTGCTTTTGGGTTCGCTTGCTCAGACGCTTTCACAGGCCTCACTGATTCTCTTCTCTGGAATAGAGCAAAGCCTGCTGGGATACGGCTCAGGAGCCAAATGGCAACAAATGGAACAATTCAACATTTTTCATGCTAATCTGCTGTCTGCAGCGCACAGTCGATTACCAAATACAATCATTTTAACAGGTTTCCCTGAACTGAACGTTAACTCAAGACTCACTTACCACAGGAGTCAATGGTCAGACGCTGAATTCTGCAACCAGTGTTTTAAATTTAAGCAGTAGAACCCGAGAGGGAGTGTGTTCTCGTGAGAGTGTTCTATTGCTTTAATACAACATTATAAATAAAGTAATAAATTAATAAACTGGGCCGTGAACGCGGCGTTTAATATGTTTTAATGTTCGCAGTTCCTTCACCAAATTATAGTTCCTTAACGAGCAGCTTGTTGCTGCGTCAGAGTAACGAGCTCCGCCCACTCGCTGCACAGCCGGCAGTTCGTTCTCCAGCTCCTCACACTAAATTCCCAAACTGTCATCACAACTGAGCAGCTTTTCAGTCGGCAGCTGAGACAGAAGAACAGCTGAACAACCTGGAATCAGCCAGAAATGAACCCAACACCATTCACTAAACGTGTAGTCTGATCTTCAGAGTCTGACCAAATCAGACTGAGCCATAAAACTGCCGCAATATCAGGTTTAGCTCAGTTTTGTCAGTTTTTGCCAGATCAGTATTAATGTTGTTTTGTTCCAGCCAGTCTGTAAAGCATCTTACAGCCCATTTAGTTTGGCGAATGGTGTTGGGTTCATTTCTGGCTGATTCCAGGTTGTTCAGCTGTTCTTCTGTCTCAGCTGCCGACTGAAAAGCTGCTCAGTGGTGATGACAGTTTGGGAATTTAGTGTCGTCTCGTCTTCAGAGTCTGACCAAATTGGCTGTCGGTCAAATGTGATCTTAAAAGTGTCCATTTTCTGTTTGTGGCAAAGTAAGAAGTAAAAACGTTCAAATGTCTTGACCGTCTCGTACAGCTGTCGGGGTTGTTGCTTAGCAACAACGTCTCAGCGGAGTGATACAGTGTTTGTGAAAAAACCTGTGATGTTATGGTGAAATAACAGCACAGTTAGAAAGGGGGTTGCACACATTACGTTGAAATGCATGCTGGGAACTGTAGTGCAGCAGTGAAATGGGCTAATATTAACAGAAAATCTAAATAACTTGCAGGCCAAATAGGATTCTGCTACTCGGCCCGCAGGCCTTGTGTTTGACACATGGGGTCTACAGTAATATGCATAAATCTTTACTGATGGATTTCAGCAACTGCCCATTGGCTTCTGTTATAAGCACATTTTGGGTCAACAGGTCATCTTCTGTTCTTCTCTAAATTCTGGGAAACATGTCAAAATCATTATCCATTGTAATCGACCATGCAGTACAGATGTGGCAGACGGACATTAGATAGAAAAATAATGGAGCGTTCCTTAAGGCTGTACGTTTTCTGCTGACTCTGCCTGAGTCCTGCCTTGTTCTCCTACGTTCTGCTTCTCTCTCCAGTCGGGCTCTGTTATTGTCTCTCTCTCTTTCTTTCCCTCTTTCTGACCGTGTCCTGTTCTTCATTGCCTTACCTTCAGCATCTTCTCAGTTAGCCATGGATGTTAGCTAGTGAGCTGTTTCTCAGTCCTGCACATTTCAGTGTTTTTCCCAGCCGAGCGCGACAGTTTTCTCCTCCTGAAGGGCTTCTAAATGGGCTAAAGAGTCGAATCAGGTGTTTTCCGGCAGGAAAATCACTACAATGTGCAGTGCAGGGTTTAGAAACAGAGAAACAGGAGCAGGGGGAGTTCTTTATGTGGCATAGACTAGGTTATATTAAAGAGGGAACTCCTTTTGTTGTAACATCAGCAGCTGGATTTATGCAGGCTTTATTATCTGTCTTCATATAAACAGACTGAATTTCAATCCAGGGTAAATACTTCAATATAGTGACCGCTGACTTTCCGCCAGAACGTTGGTAAAAGTAAATAAATAATATTTATTATAGAATAAATAATAAAAATAAATAATACAGTGGTCAGTGAGTGTAGAATTTAAAGTACAACAGAAAAGCTTCATTTATTGTTGATAACTCGGCAGCTGAGGGGTCTAAACAGATGCAGTATATCTTTAAAACGCATGTTTAAGTGCTGCACTGCAAAAAATGGCCTCTTGTCAAATGAAATTATCTTAAATATAGCTGATATATTTAATATTTGCCATTTTGCAGTGGTTGTGCACTTATTATAAGATTATCTAGCTTAGGCTACGTTCACATTACCAGGCTGAAGTGGCACAAATCTGATTTTTTTGCCCTAATTTGACTCGGATCTGATGTTTTCAGAGCTGTGTGGACACACAAATCTGATCTTTTCAAATCCGACCTGAGCCACTTTCATATGTGGTCCTAGATCGGATACGTATCCGATTTGTGCTCAGATCTGAATTCATGTGCTTTTTCTCCGCTGTGCGTGCGCTATCATTCAGCGTTACCATGGCAACAGCGCCGAACAGAAGTTAATGCCTGTAAACGGTGGAAAAGCAGCTCATCTCACCTTTTTCTCCTTCGTCTCGCTCTAATAATGAAGCTGAGAGCTGATCAGAGTTAATGATCTTCTCAGCGAAGCTCGTTCTGCTCGTTAGTTTGTGCTGATGATGCTCGTGATTCATTCACGTGACGTTACTGAGTAGGATGAGCTCATGAGGGTCATTTCAGGACGCCGGTTCGTCACATTAATGACAGATTTGAATCACTTACCTAAACGAGTGTGAATCATCCTGTCAGAGATCGGATTTGAGCAAGAAATCGGATTTGAGAAATGAGGCTTGTAATGTGAACGTAGCTTTATTTCCAGAATTTGTTTACTTGTTTTACGTCATTTTATTAAGTAAAAGTATCTCACTGTTCTGGCAGATAATTCTGCTGGTTTTAAGCTCATTTCTTACAACAAGCACAATTATCTACCAATATAGTGAGAAACTTTTACTTAATAAAATTATTTCAAACAAGTAAAAATGTCTAAAAATAAGTTGAATAATCTTAAATTAAGCTTACAACAATCTCAACAGGAGAAATATTGGATTTCTTGACTGTATTTAAGATAATTTTCCTTGACAAGACCATGTTTTGCAGTGTGTAAAGACTCTCATGCAGTGTTGAGTAACTGTGCCTCATTCGAGATGGGGAAGCGCTTCTCTCTGGCATTCACGGTTTTACACTTCTATTTTTTGAAGTAGAGTTTATAAAAGGAGGTAAAAGCCATTTTTGGTAATATTTTGTATGATGTGGAGACTCGGTGCTCTGTCCGCTCCCCTCTCTGCTGTTCTGGGGGGGTGTTTCATGTCTTTTTATATAAAAAGGATTGTTTTGTAAAAACAAAGACAAAAAATTGACTAATGGATCAATGAAAGTGTGATTTTTTTTCTCTTTGAATAAAATTGAGTGCTGTAAGTGTTTTAACAACCTGTCGCATTCATTTCTTATTATTATTAATAGAAAGTAAAGGAATTTGAAACGATATCAAGATATGAATGTTTGGATATCAGCTTAATGTGGGAGAGAGTTGGAGAATGTGCATGTTTTGTTAATAGCAATAATAGCAATAGTCCAGCAAATTGACAAATTAAAAGTCCCCCACCCAAAAGGAAGTCAGAAAAGTCGTGTTTGGTGTCTGAGGTTTGCTTCTTTACTTCTGCACTAATGTGTCTAACAAGTAATGGAAGCTTATACCCTACAAATTAGCATGGTGCTAAATGCAGGGCATAGCAAAGGGGCAAAAAACAAGTTGACTATCCATTGCTTGTAATTACATTGTCCACTTTTTTAATCGTTGAGATGTAAACAAAATCATTCTGAGTGGTTTGATGTGAAATATCACATTGATAAACTTTTTATTTATTATCCAAAACCATCAGTTTTGTATGTAATGCTGATGATGGTAAAATAGTGATAAATCTGAAAAATACGTTTTTATTTTGCTTCGGACCCTGCATGTGTCCCTCCACCATTAATTCATTTGAAAAAAATACATTCTAGGCCCAAAATCTTCTCAAAACTATGGCAAAACAGCATCTCAGTCATCAGACAGTGAAATCATAAACATTTAATGTAGTAACTTTCTGTGAGGGAGCTTTCAGAGGTGGACGTCTGGTTCCTATCACCACCACTGTGAACGATTCTGACTCTGTAAGTTTCTCTAGAATTGAGTATTCCACACCAAACCACTCTGAACGACTCTGTTTACATCTTAACCATATAATTATGCAGAAATTTTAAAAAAATCAGTGGAATTGCCCTTTAAGTAATCTCTAATAGACTTGATTATGTCGCTGCTGCCGAACCTCGTATCTCCAAAATGGTAACTTTACAGGAGAAGAAAAAAAACTTCTTTACTCTTAATGTAAGTCAATGGAACCAGAATTTTTTCCAGGTCACTTTGAGCCGTTTCTTTTAGTCCATTCATCGTGAAATTTACACACAATGTCAAGAGCAACAGGTATTTTCAAATTATGTCAAAACTGAAAAACAGCCTTTAGCCTTAATAAGCTTCCCTTTTGAGTGACATCATAGCCTCATAGCTCCAGTGTAAAACCAAACTTCATACACCAAACACGTCTTGGCTGATCGTCTGCATTTGGGGTTTTATTTTAAACAAACTCTCACTTTAAGCCCTTCCTATAAACATGTGACCTGTTGCCCCTGATTGATTGCTGCACCCTCGTCCTCAGTGGTGGATCTGGAGAAGAACGACGGCTCTGCGGCTCGGCCGTACTTCATGAGCAGCACCCTGAGAGCCATCCTCAACAAGAAGAACCACAGGAGGGCACCTGAGAAGAAGAGAGCCAGAGCAGGGAGGAGAAAATGATGAGAAAAAAAGACTTTTTTGATAGTTTGAGAATGAGAGAGAGTTCTGAGGAGGTGGCTTTAACCTCCTCAATAAGAGAACAGGTGAGATTTATCACTTACTCACCTGGCAGGTAAGCGTTTGTGAGCTGGAATGGGGAAAAAACATCACTAGTGCCAATACAACACATACCTTCAGGAAAAACATCAATAGAAAATATTTTTTATGATAATTATAATAACTAAGATAATCTACATGTATGCATTTTAGCAGTTATCATCAGAGGCTCGTTGAGCAAGAAGGCAGTGCAGGCCGAACCTGGAAGTTTCTGGCATTTAAAGAGAAATTCCACTGATTTTTAATAATTTCTCATAATTAGATGGTTAAGATGTAAACAGAGTCGTTCAGAGCGGTTTGGTGTGAAACGCTCCGTTCTAGAGAAACTTACCGAGTCAGAACTGTTCACAGTGGTGGTGATAGGAACCAGACGTCCACCTCTAAAAGCTCCCTCACAGAAAGTTACTACATGAAATGGTTATGAATTCACTGCCTGACGTCTGAGACACTGTTCTGCCATAGTTTTGAGAAGATTTTGGGCCTAGAATGTATTTTATTATGTCTGAGACGTTGTTTTATGATAAAATTTTGGCCTTAAACATATTTTTAAACTCCATTCCTGGTACAGGGATACATGTAGCATGTTGTGAGGCTAAATAGTCCTCAAAGAAAACGTATTATTTTAGATTTAGCACTATTTTACATCATATTCCTTAAAAGACTTGTGTAAGTTCACTGGTGGTTTTGGATAGTAAATAAAATGTCTATATTTGTGTTGTAGTCATGGCGACCCCTGGTTCCTCACCACCACTGTTAGGAGATCTGAACCATTTCACACCAAACCACTCAGAATCACTCTGATTACACCTCACTCACTCAATCATCCAGAAATTTTGAAAAAATGGTGGGTTTCCCCTTTAAGTGTTTTTAGTTGTGGTACTTGGGAGACCACAGGTTCACGATGGACCAAAAGAATGAAAGCCATTTCAGAGATCTAATGCAGAACAAACATATTACTGTACGTCAGCTCTCAAAGAGAACTAAATATTAATAACATACATCAGAGATTGGCTTTTAGCACTGATCTGCTCCATCCTCACTGACTCAGCACGTACAGGCTTCCTCCAACAAACTGTAGTGGGAAAAACAGTGCACACTCGATCTTCTCCATCTGCTGTGGCTTATTATATTCATTTGTATTGTATAATATAATATAATATACTTGAATTCCGAGTGAACTTAATTGTTCTGAAGTAATTCTTAAAATGTAGTAACTCCAGATGTCCATTAGGGGGCTCATTAGCGTGAGCCTGCAGTAAGCAGTGTTTTATTTTTAGAATTCTTTTTTATTATTTATATTACTCATATTTAACACCTATTCATTTTCATTCATATGAACCCCCCATAACTGTGTAACATATCTGGGGGGTGCGCTTATTTCTTCTCTCATATTGAGAAATTACAGCCGACTCGCCGTCCATTAAGCCATGTTTTATGTTTTGTGTGGTTTTATGTGTTTTTTACACATAACTGAATCAGAAGCTCCGTCAGACCCTCCAGCTCTGTTCTGCCATGCAGAGCTTTTTAACCCGTTTCAGCTGATCTTTATTCCCGTTGTCAGCTGTTAGCGTAGCTGAGTTTGTGTTATATTGGACCGTCTGAGTGTCCGGATGTCTGAATGTAGGGCAGTAATTCGTCTGAGCACATTTATGAATTTATAATCATATTCCACTTATCTCTGCTAACTGCCTGCATTTTCGAGCTCTCATTTTCTCTTTCCTCTCACGTTTAAACGCCGTCTTTGATGACTGCACTTCAGAAAACACCACCACGGCGGGTGAAAACATCTTTAATGTAGGTAATATTCTCCCACTGAGCTGGCAGATCATTTTATTTCCTGAAAACATCATTTCTCAAAACAAACAACATTATAATACAATCATTTCACCTGTTATTATTGCTCAATATAAGTAAAAGAAAATATTAGTATAATAATAATCTTAAAGTCTATGGTTATGCTACACCCATTTCCATAGTTACACTACACCAATTTTCATGGTTACACCACACCTGTTTCCATAGTTACGCTACAACTGTTTCTATAGTTACACCACACCTGTTTCCATAGTTACGCTACAACTGTTTCTATAGTTACACTACACCTGTTTCTATAGTTACACTATAGCTGTTTCTATAGTTACACTATACCAATTTCCATGGTTACACCACGCCTGTTTCCGTTGTCATGCTACACCCATTTCCATAGCCATGTGCATTTAATTTTGTAGTTACACTACACCTGTTTCTATAGTTACGTTACACCTGTTCCTATAGTTACGCCACACCTGTTTCTATGGTTACACTGCAACTGTTTCCATAGTCATGTGCACCTAATTCTATAGTTACACCACACGTGTTTCCATACTTACAATGCACAGTTTCTATGATTATGCTGCAACCATTACCATGGTTACGGTTTATCTTTTTCCATGGTTACACTACACCTGTTTCCATAGTTACACTATGCACATTTCCATGGTTACACTACACCTGTTTCCATAGTTACACTATGCACATTTCCGTGGTTACACTACACCTGTTTCCATAGTTACACTATGCACATTTCCATGGTTACACTACACCTGTTTCCATAGTTACACTATGCACATTTCCATGGTTACACTACACCTGTTTCCATCGTGACACTATGCACATTTCCATGGTTACACTACACCTGTTTCCATAGTGACACTATGCACATTTCCATGGTTACACTACACCTGTTTCCATAGTGACACTATGCACATTTCCATGGTTACACTACACCTGTTTCCTGTAGTTACACAAATTCCCATGTTTACACCTGCTTCAGAATTATGCTCCTCTTTTGTTTGAACGTTTGAGCTAATCTGTCTGCATTGCTTCAGGAACTTCAGTGGTCGACCTGCAGTGTCAGATATATAATAAAATGTGTGCGGAGCTGCAGTGATTTCCTGTACAGCAGCGTTATTCGTGCGATTGCTGTGCCTGTGTGGTTAAATGAAGAATTTCTGTCTTATTTGTGCTGTTTTTACAGAACTGTCTTTTAAAACGTGTCCAAGAACACTACTACACAATTACACTCACACTCAAACATCCTCTTTGTTACCATGTTTATGAACCATGTTTTTTTTGCTCATTATAATGTGAATAATATTGTTAGCTTTAATATTCACAGTCAGTTTTTTAATGCATGGTTTTGATTAAATCAAACGGATCTAAACTGACACAGTATATGCATTTTTTTTTTGTGTTGTAAATAAATGTAAAGAGAGATTTCCACAGTGTGCACTTTTATTGTGTAGTTTCTTCACATTTTTTAAAAACTGAATCATATCAATCATATAATACAAAGCTAACACAAATGACTGATATTCACACCAATAAAAGTACAGTATAAAATACAGTACATTCAGAATTTGCATATATTTGTTTGGGCGTCTCAGTCATGTTGGTTTTCTAGGTGTCTTTCTACAGTGAATAAACTGAAATACAGCACTTCCCTGCAAATTTTACTGCTGATACATTTTTTTCTGCAAATTTCTGTTTAATTAGGTAAAAAATAAACATATTATGTTCTGTAACTTTTGCACGTTTTCTTATGTTTTGTTTTTCTTTTTCAACATGTTAAATTCCAACACTGCATTAAAAACAGAATAAAAATCATGGAAATCACTGCATGGGCTCAGAAACACTTCTGAAAACCACTGTCTGTGAAAACAGTTCATCACTGAATCCACAAGCAAGTTAAAACTCTAAAACACAAAGAAGAAACCAAATATAAACAGGATGCAGAAACACTGCCACCTTCTCTGGGCCTGAGCTCATTTAAAATGGACTGAGAGGAAGTGGAAAAGTGTCCTGTGGGCCGACGAATCAACATTTGAAACTCTTTTTGGAAATCATGGACACTGTGTCAGCACGCAGTTCAAAAGCCAGTATTCATGATGGTTGTGTGTTTGATATGTAGTCTTTGTACTATTTTCAAATAAATATAGGGTTTAAATGATTTGCACATCATTTTGTTTTCATTTACATTTTGCACAGCGTCCCAACTTTTTTGGAAATGGGGTTGTAGCAGCGTTTATAGTGGATGTCACAAAATTTTCTACAACTAAACCACAAAACAACTGATTGTTGATACTAAAACTCAGAGAAAGCTCCTCCCCCTCACTACATATCACAATAAATTCTAATTAATAAATTCTTAATTCTTCTTTTAAAATAGTATTTTAAAGTATTTTACTAACAATGTACATTAAGTGTGATGTTAAAAATTCTTTCTTCTTTATTTCTATATTGTTGCCCACCACAGACTCTGCACTTTGCCCCCCAAAATGCAAAAAGTCTGTGCTCCCCTGTGCAGAGTGGCAGAATGGGACGTTTCCAGAGCATGTGAGAATACTGCCATCGTGTGGTGGAAGTGAATAATGTCCACTGAGCGTTGATCTGGACTCCTAAAAAAGATGGTTCTTCAAGGGTTCTTTTGTAAAGAAAATGGTTCTATATAGGACCACAAACACTCAAAGAACACTTGCATGATCAAAGGGTTCTTTGCATCGTGAAAGCGTTCTTCAGATTGATGGAGAATGTGCTGTAGATGGTTCTATATAGAACTTTCATGAAAAAGGTGCTATACAGCACCAAAAAAGGTTCTTCTACTGTGACAATGTCAAGCTTGTAACAATAGAAGAACCCTTTTTTGGTGTTTACAGAACCATATACAGCACATTCTCCATCATCTGAAGAACCATTTCACAATGCAGAGAACCATTTAAGCATGCAAAGCATCATCTCTTGAAGAACCATGTTTTTTTGTATCATGTATTCTTCAGGTTGATGGAGAATGTGTTTTAGATGGTTCTATATAAAACCTTTTTGAAAAAAAGGGGACTCTATATAGCACCAAAGGGGTTCTTCTCTTGTAACAAGCTTGACATCGTAGCAGAACCCTTTTTTGGTGCTATATAGAACCCTGTTCAAAAAGGTTCTATATAGAGCCATCTACAGCATATTCTCCTTCAATTTGAAGAACCTGTTCGTTGAGAGTTCCTGGTTCTATATAGGACCATTGTCTTTGCTAAACAACCCTTGAAGAACCATGTTTTTTGTATCATGAAAGGGTTCTTCAGACTGATAGAGAATGTGACTTAGATGGTTCTATATAGAACCTTTTTGAAACAGGTTCTAAATAACACCATAAAAGGTTCTTCAATTGTTATGATGTCATGCTTGTAACAGTAGAAGAATCCTTTTCAAAAAGGTTCTACACAGCACCACCTACAACACATTCTCCATCATTCTGAAGAACCCTTTCACGATGCAAAGAACCCTTTGATCATGCAAAATGTTCTCTGAGTATTCATGGTTCTAGATAGAACCACTTTCTTTACTAAAGAATCCTTGAAGAACCATCAGTGTAGTGAGAACTCTGGCAACTTTGTCCAGCTGAGAGACGACAGTAATCAGTCCTGCTAGATAGTTTATTATATACAAATTTACTCATATTTAATCTTTGATATCACAGATTAAGATCAGTGACACTGTTGATCCTGTGCTCAGGGGGTTAATAGCACTCAGCACTATCAATGAATACTACCAGCATGGAGCCTGTTTCACAACCCTGGAGCTGAGACTGATTGGTGTAGTGGGAACTCCGCCTAAACAGGGCCTATTTATTGCTACTAGCAGAGGCTTAACCACAGTTCAGCAGCAGAGCAGAGGACACTGCGCTCCATACTGACAGGTCAGTGACAGTCACACCACTGTTAGGGGGGATAAAGGAGAGGAATGACCGCTGAATGGGTTTAGAGTGAGCTGTAATCAGTTTTTCATTGCTGTAGAGGTTAGTCTGCTAGTTTCTGTCAGTGGGAGTGGACTTAGCAAGCTAATGAGCTAACATCAGCCTTCCAACATCCAAGTTTTGTCCTGAAGCTCATCCAGACCTTTGGGATTTTGAGATTAGGGGTCTTATTTTTTAGAAGAAGCCTCCGATTTCCAGCAACAGCTTTTGGTTTGCAGTCTAAGTGCTGCTTTTCCAGAGGAAGAGAGAATGAAAGTTGAGGGAAGGGAAGTAGGCCAAAGTTGAGCAGCTTTGTGGCAGTGAGTAGACAGTAGGAATGATTGACAGTTAACTTACAAGTCCCTGAGCTGTGAGTAGTGTTTCATCACATCATTTCATTCTAAAATAAAACTGCAGTAATAAGATGTAAGATGTCTATAGTGCTGTATGATCCCACTATAACACTCTATAATGCTTTTAACTCTGTATATTCCATATAGTGCTGTGGTCTCCTGTATTAAACTACAGCAAGTGTGTGAATTATGATTCTTTTAGGAATCCTGTAGAAATTTCCACAGCAATATTGTGGAATTGTTTAGTTAGGGTCGGCCAAGTTCCCCTAACCAGCTGTTATACATTAATGGTCTATATGCTTTGTATAGTTCCACCAATTTTTCATAAATTCTGCTTAATATCAGTGTGTGAGATGTAATCAGAGTGATTCAGAGTGGTTTGGTGTGAAACGGTTCAGATGTCTGTACAGTGGTGGTGATAGGAACCAGGGGTCGCCATGACTACAACACAAATATAGATATTTTATTTACTATCTAAAACCACCAGTGAACCTACACGAGTCTTCTGAGTTTATATGGAATTTTGATGATGGAAAATAATAGAAAATCTGAAATTATAGGTTTGCTTTGGGGACTATTTTGCCTCACAACACCCTGCATGTATCCCTCCACTATGCCTGGAGTTAATATTAATAAGTTTTAGGCCAAAATCTTCTCAAAACTGTCATAAAGCTTTTCTTTAGGCACTGTTTTGCCTCTCATATGGAACAGAAGTATAGTGTGTTTATAAAAGACATTTGAAAAATGTATTTTTGCTTAATGTACTTGAGGTGTTATATCGCTGCTGTCGGAAGAAAACCTTGTATCTCCATTTTTGTTTTTTTTTTTTTCAATTTTTGACATAATGTGAAAATGCCTGTTGCTCTTTAAGTAGTGTCAAGATTTCATGATGAATGGACCAAAAGAAATGGCACAAAATTACTTGGAAAGACGTCTGGTTCCATTGACTTAAGTTAACGATGTCAACAAAAGAAATATTAGATTCCTCGAATATATTTAAGATAATTTCACATGACAACATACTATTTTTGTGTGCTTATTATTCAGCCATCACTGCTTTTTCAAAATATTTAGCCCAAAGAAGCTCAGTCAGAATTCACTGGATTGTAACTTGATTAAAATCTGTTAAAAATGAAAGCAAAAAGCAAAGCAGCAATAAAAACAGGAGAAGCTGTTGGACCTTAATGTCCATATCTGACATTTTAAATTTGGTCTGTGTGCTCTCTGAGCTCTGAGCTCTGAAAGTGTTTTCACTGAAGAGCTAAATGCACTGCAAAAAATAGTCTCTTGTCAAGAAAAAATAGCGTAACCCTTGTGTGGTGTTGGGGTCTGTGGGATTTTCAATGTTTACCTAAAGAAAAAATGCTGGGACCTATTATTAGATGAGATTCTTGGTCTTTGCTCATTTTCTGTGAAGAACATATAAAATAACCCATTTTCAGTGTCTTCACTCTGTTCACCCCCCACACATTTATATTACACATGTGGTGTTGGGTGAACCTGCGGGGAGTAAAAGTGTGGAGGTGCTGTGTCCTTCACTCTGTTCTCCTCCTACATGGCCTGCTGTTAGTGTGTGTGTGTCTGTGTGTGTATGTGTTTTTATATATGTGTGTGTGTGTGTGTGAGGGTGGACAACATGGACAGGCTGCTGACTGGCTACAGCTGCTAAAGTAGAACCCTACGCTGGACACTTGTGATATTTTAAACATCTGGTATTTTTACATATTGTTGTGGCTTTATTGATTTAAAAATCAATAATGTGATGGGTCCAGCAGACCAGTGAGTAACAAACACATCAACACCACACAAGGGTTAAAACTATTCAGTATATTGAATATTTCTCATTTTCAGATTGTAAGCTTTTTATAAGGTCATTTAACTTATTTCTAGACATTTGTAACTTGTTTTGAGAAACATTAGTGAGTCAGATTATCTCACTGTACTGGCAGATTTCTTGCTTTGCCTTTGTTTCTGACAGATTTAAATCATGTTCTAATCCAGTGATTCTGTCTGAATGTGAGAGTCTGTGCTGTGCAGGTTTAACCTCACTGCTCCTCCATCCTGACTCAGACTGTGGGATGATTAAGAGCTGGACTTTGCTCGATGAGCTGTCACCAGTCAGGTCATGTTTTGGTGACGCAGCGTGTCTGACAGGTTTCACATTCGTGAATGGCAGCAAGTAAAAACATGTCACCTACTGGAAGCTGTTGGACTTTAACGTCCGTGTCTGATGTTTTAAATTTGGTCCGTGAGCTCTGAGCTCAGTCACACCATCTGACCAACAAGTTCGATAATTATACAGTCTTCGGGTCACACGGGATGAATAACAGTTAAAAGACTAAAGAAAGTTTTGATTATTTGAATTTATTTAAAGAAACTCAGTCATGACCGTCATACAGATAAAAGCATTCTCAGAGTATGTGGTACGACAAAAAGTTACAGTTAATTTTCTGTTTTGTTTTTTGGATTTTTTTCTCTTTGTCCACATCTGCTTCTCATTAATATTGAATATTTTTACTGATATTTATCAAATTGATTTCTGTTTTTTTAAGTACAAAATTTAGTTTGTTTCACTTTTAACTGTTGAATCTTTTCACTTTGATGTTTACCTTAACATAATCTAGCAGAGGAGAGAGAGGAGAGAGAGAGAGAGGAGAGGAGAGAGAGAGGAGAGGAGAGGAGAGAGGAGAGAGAGGAGAGATGAGAGGAGAGAGAGAAGAGAGGACATGAGAGGAGAGGAGACGAGAGGGGAGAGAGAGGAGAAAAAGGAGAGAGCTCTCACTCCATTTAAGGTTCTGTTTAGAACCCTCTCTCTCTCTCTCTCTCTCTAAAACTTTCCAGACTGGCTTTATCACAGAAAGAACTCTCTGTCTGATACACTCACATGCTGGGAGGATCTTGTGATCGACACACTTTACATTCAGATTTCACACACACACACACACACACGCACACACACACACACACACACACACATGTTAGATGTGAAGATTTTTAAATATATTTTTTAGGAAGATTTGAAGATTTTTTGTTGTTTTCAGTAAAATTTGAATTTTGTGTCATTTTTTAGTAATATGTGAAGGTTTTTGTGTAGGTTTTAGTAAAGATTTAAAAATGTTTGCATAGATTTTAGGAAAGTTTGAAGATTTTCTGTATCCTTTTCTAAAATTTGAGGAATTCTAAATGAAAATGGTGAGAATGGTTTCTGTGATAGGAGGATAAACTCTGACATCACTGTCTAAAACATCCCATTTGAATAATATCAACAACAAAATCCCATACAGTGAGATAAATAACAGTAATATAAATATGAAGTGGAATGTGAGGGTCTGATAACAGACAACATTCCTTCATTTAGTCATTTGTACATATTCGGGCAATTTGTTCATCTGATGTTTACATTAGTATCGAATGCTGTCAGTAATGCAGTCTGGCTCCCAGCATGCAGCGGTGGTAAATGTAGTGCTCATTGCTGCATAGACCACTCTCTTATCTTTATGGGGGGCTTATCTGAGATCACTCTACACTTTAACCCCTCATGTGACCATTTCAGGATTGATTGTTTACAGAATGTAATCCAACACTGATTACAGATTACATGAATACAAACATAATCAATAAAATAATCATTTAGATTATTCACGTCCGGCTGACTGACACATTTGAGTAAGGTCAATTAAACGCAGCATTCTTCGGGATGATCACAGTGAATTTGTTGTGATTATTTAAAGGCTTAATTTGCATATTTCAGTCTCCTGCAGTATCACTGTTGCAATAATGATAAACAAACTATGTGTTGTGCAGTAGGGCATAACATAAAATTTGATGTTCGATAATGTAACGCAATACGTTATTATTATAATAGTGTGCCTCTGACTGGATGTGAAGCAAGTACAGACTTTTTTGGACATGTAAACAGAAATCTAACCAACCTCTCCTTTATGCAAACAGCAGAATATGAAATTATAAAAGCACCATTCACTATTTTTCAAAATAAAAAGAAATGAAACACTAACAGCTGCTCACATCAGAACTGAGAGCACATTTTTTGTGCATTGAAAGGCTGAGAAACAGTCAGCATTACCTCAACAGCTTTTCTATAAGGATATTTGTTATTTATTTTTTTGTTTGTTTGTTTGTTTGTTATTAAATATGTTTGTTGTGACAGTAGCCACTACAGCCTCACATGCCTAAAAAACAATACTGGGCTTGAGAACAATCCTAATGTTTGATGCCTTTTGTTTTGTAATTGGCTGTTTAGCCTAGTGGTTAAGTCACTCGTGGGAGAGCAGCGTTCAGTCCAAGCTCTGAGAAGCACTTTAGGCTTCTAACAGTTAATGCTGGCAGTGTAATGATCTCTGCAAGTTTGAGGTAATTTGATCTGTTCTGCCATCGCAGGTCTTAACGATGTGTTTATCGTGGAAACTCATATCACAATAACGATAAAAATATGATTTATTGTGCCGTCTTTTTTTCCTCACTTCTACCTGTATTGCATTTCTTTTCCTGTCTATTATCAGGTTATCTTGGTCCACAATGTCAGAGAGTGAAAAAATGAGTCAGATGGACACGGAAACGCCAGCTGCTGCTCAGGATCAGCAGGTGAGTCGAGACAGAAAAAAACATTTAAGCCATTCAGGGCTGAAAGTGTCAGAGCACAATGGGTCATCATAAAATGGTAGAGCAAGTATCAGTGTGAACACTCTCTCTCTAATCCGCTGCTTTAAGCCCCCGATCCTTTGGTCCACCAAATGTCAGGCTTGTGTATAATAGCAGAACACTTTTTGGTGTTGTTTAGAACCATTTTAAAAAAGGTTCTATATAGAGTTTATAGAGTTACAATAAAATGCCTTTGAAGTGTGAAGTATGTTCCTATTCATGTGTTTAAATTGGCAGTTTATGACATAAAAATTGACACATTTTTCAGCTTTTCATAGATCATATCGTCAAAACATTGTATCTCCAAAATGGTAAATTTACATGAGAAGGAAAACACGTTCTTAACTTTGAATGGAAGTTAATGGAACAATAGTTTTCCGTATAATTTTTGTAGCATTTCTATCGCTTCATCCAGCAAAGGGCAGCTGGCGTTTTTTAAATTCTGTAAGGAAAAAAAAAAAAGAAAATAAACAATAAAAATGACACAAGGTTGGTCTGCTACGATATTCTTTACATATCAAAATCAGTAGCCGACCATGTGTTTTAGCTAGTCCTTCAGTCTGGGCCATAAATATCAAAACTCAATCAATAAACGACAAAAATCTATTACACGAACATACGAATTGTTAGCACCACTATTGGATTTCTAGCATTATATTAGCGCTAACACTGTTGCACATGATCATTTTCCGACTGTTCTGGCTTAAACGCAGACATTTGATGCTTGAAAAAGTCACATGCTTTATTAGAAGCTTATAAAGACATCAACACATATCTGAGCTTGTATGTATCAGTTTTACAGTGACTCTATCAGTAAAGAGTTCGGACATAGAGCTGCCGCCGCTGTTTTACATTCCTAACAACTAACCCAAACCTGCTCAGACTACAGCTCGTATTCACAGTCAGTGACTTATCTAGAACTTCTCTAAGACCTTGAGTCATGTTTCGTTCCCGCCCATTGTAAAGCAGAACATGATTTGTTGTTAATTATGTTGGTAGTTAATCTAAAGGCCTTCTGTCCAGCTCCTGACGTCCTAACCAATGGGAGAGCTTGCATTGCTTTATCTACCTAGTTACCACAGAGAAAACAATCCTGATTGGATAATTATCTCTTGGCCATTTCAAGATTTTAACCCTTTTGTTTCCAAGTAAAACAAAATAATGAAATAAAAGTATGAGTGCAGAGTTTAAACACAAAGTTCCCAGAAATCGTTAGGCTCTCTTTGAAGGCCTAGAAGTTCTCCAGCAACAGCGTCAGCAAAATCAAGATATTAACAGAAATATTTGTTTTTTAAATTGACATGACAGGTTTAAACATGTACCTGAGCCGCTTGCATGTCTGAGTGCTTTTGAAGTGTGATGTTCTCTGGTCTGTAGAGCTTGATGTCTCGGTTCAGTAACCTGCCTCTGGTCAGCTCGGCGTGTGGCGCGGTGTCCAGCGCCTACAGCAGCACTAAAGACAACGTCCCTCTCCTCAGGGGGGTCATGGACGCGGCCGAGAGCGGAGTCCGCACGCTGGGAGCGGCGGCCAGCACGGGGACCAAACCCATACTGGACAGACTGGAGCCACAGAGTGAGACCTGCTGTCCCGTTTTTATTTCCTCATTAACTTCCACTCCAACCTCCCAAACTTCATCACTATAATAAACTAATCTGTGTTTTTTCACTTAAAAACAAACCCAGTAACTCAGGTGCAGCACCTGAAAGTTGAGGTAATAATGTGGTAGAAACTGACAAAGATCTTTTGTCCTGCACAACATCCATGTTTAATGAGTTTCAGTGAATGGCCAAAAGTATGCGGACACCTGACCATCACACCTACGCTCTTAACAAAGATGGTTCTTCAAGGTTTCTTTAGCAAAGGGAATGGTTCTATTTAGAACCATGAGTTCTCTGTAGTTCTGTCTTTTATGCTTAAATGAATGTGTTTCTCTGTAGAAGCTGCTGTTATGATGTCAAGCTTGTTACAGTAGAAGAACCGTTTTTGGTGGTGCTACGTAGAACCACGTACAACACATTCTCTATCAATCTAAAGAACCGTTTCACCATCCAAAGGACCAATTAATCATGAAAGAACCCTTGGAGAACCATCATTTTTTAAAAGTGTTTACGAGCTTGTTGGACATCCCATTCCAAAATCATGGAGTGACAAAAAAGCTCATGTAAATATATAATTACAGTGTATTAATAACATTTTATTCACTTCTTTTTAACAGAATATATTGGATGAAACTATGCAGAAATACCTTTTTGGTGAATATTTTGTAATATTTAAATCCACTTCCACTTTATCTCTGTATAAAATACAAAAAAAATGTAAATATGGCAGGTGATTCCAAACTTTTGGACATCACTGTCATAATAAGATAGTAACTTTTCAGAGAAGGACGAAATGCACGTTAATGTAAGACGATTCTACTGTAAATATTTTGGACTGTATATTTTGCTCAACTCATCAAGAAATATTCAGCCAATGTAGAGAACAGTTGATGTTTTCAAATGGAGTAAAAATACAATAAAATGAGATTTTGACACAGCAGCAATGCCACACTATCAATAAATGAGCTATATTTAATGTAATAATTAGTATTTTTGCATTATTAGTATAAAGCTCATTCACTCATTTGTCTGTTTACTTATTTATTTTGCAGTTGCCATGGTGAACGAGTATGCCATGAAGGGGCTGGACAAAGTGGAGGAAAAGCTTCCCATCTTACACCAGCCAGCAGACAAGGTACAGCTGAGCGTTCTGAGCAGCTAAATTGCTAAGCTAAGAGTGCTAATGCTGCCTTTAAACACTTCAAAGCAGCCGAAAGAAGAACTTCAGACGTAGATATTTAATAAAATCTGGGGGTCCGATGTGCTGAGCTATTCTGCCCCTGTGTTCTGTATGAACAGCCGATACGTGCAGTCAATGGTCTGCGTGTATGGACCCTCACAGAGCAGGTACTATTTGGGTGGTGGATCATTCTCAGCACTGATGTGGTGGTGGTGTGTTAGTGTGTGTTGTGCTGGTACGAGTGGATCAGACACAGCAGTGCTCCTGGAGTTTTTAAACACTGTGTCCACTCACTGTCCACTCTATTAGACACTCCTACCTTGTCAGTCCACCTTGTAGATGTAAAGTCAGAGACGATAGCTCATCTGCTGCTGCACAGTTTGTGTCGGTCATCCTCTAGTCCTTCATCAGTGGTCACAGGACGCTGCCCACAGGACGCTGTTGGCTGGATATTTTTGGTTGGTGGACGATTCTCAGTCCAGCAGTGACACTGAGGTGTTTAAAAACTCCAGCAGCACTGCTGTGTCTGATCCACTCATACCAGCGCAACACACATTAACACACCACCACCACGTCAGTGTTACTGCAGTGCTGAGAATGATCCACCACCCAAATAGTACCTGCTCTGTGAGGGTCCATGGGGGTCCTGACCACTGAAGAACAGGGTAAAAGGGGGCTAACAAAGTATCAGAGAAACAGATGGACTACAGTCTGTAACTGTAGAACTACAAAGTGCACCTATATAGTAAGTGGAGCTGATAAAATGGACGATGAGCGCAGAAACAAGGAGGTGGTCAGAATGTTATGCCTGATCAGTGTAGATTCTTTATTCCTTCTGATTACTTTTACTGATTATTTACTGCTAAATCTGATTACTTTGTGTTTTTACTCCTCTCCTTTTATTGTTTTGTTGGTTTGTGTATTTTTTTATTGTTTTATTTATTATACTTGATATTTACTTCATATTTATTATTAAAACTATTTTATTATTTCATGCTTTAAAAGTATTATATAAACAATTTCTTGTTCTGTGATTAGGATTTTCTGTGTTTTCAATTTGCAAACTACTTTAAAGCGATTTAAGTTACATGTTAAATGCATTAAAGGCAATACATAAGTTGCAGTTATTATTATTATTATTATTTTTTTATTATTATTATTGTTATTGTTGTTGTTGTTGTTGTTGTTGTTGCTCATAGTACCACACGGTTTGATGAAACTGAAACTTTTCTTCAGATTTAAAATGTGAATGTCAGATATGGACATTAAAGGGTTAATCTGGACGCGACTCTGTCGTCTTTCCTGCAGCTGGTGTCTGAGACGGTGGACAAGGTGTACCAGTCTGTGACGGGGGCGAAGGATGCGGTGGTGGGGGCAGTCCTGGGGGGTGTGGAGATGACCCGTACGGCCGTAAATGAGGGCATTAACACAGTCATGGGCACCAGGGTGGGTCAGATGGTCAGCAGTGGAGTGGGTCTGGCTCTGACCCGCTCTGAGGACTGGGTGGACCAGCACCTTCCGCTTACTGAGAAGGAACTGGGTGAGTCTTGTGTATGAATGACGTGACCTTCAGCAATATTTTATGGGAATAGTTATGTGGAAAATAAATAAATAAATCATTTACACAGTTTTACCCCACTCACCCCAGATGTAGTCAAATGTTTGCTTCTTTAGTTTAGCGCTGGAGCTATGAGGCTAACAAACACTAGAAGTCAATAGTCACCCAAATTCTGTAAATACATCCACAAAACCTCTCTCAACCCGCTCAAACTCTGTGCACGTCTTTGTTTAGTTGGGTGTATCATGTAAAACTAATTTCCCTCGCTTTTTAAAAAGTTAATATACAAGCTAATATACAAAGTTTCAAAACCTATCGTTCACCCTTCAGTTCATACAGGCCATGTATGAAAACTATGCTACAAACAGCCCATTTTCAATTCATTGGTTCTGCGATGTACAACCCCATTTCCAAAAAAGTTGGGACGCTGTGCAAAATGTAAATAAAAACAAAATGCAATGATATGGAAATCATTTAAACCCTATATTTCATTGAAAATAGTACAAAGACATACATACATACATCATCTAAACCGCTTATCCTTCTGGGTCGCGGTGGGGTGCTGGAGCCTATCCCAGCTGTCATTGGGCGGAAGGCAGGATACACCCTGGACAGGTCGCCAGTCCATCGCAGGGCAGACAGACAGACATACATATACAATCACACCTAGGGGCAATTTAGCACGTCCAATCAGCCTGACTGCATGTCTTTGGACTGTGGGAGGAAACCGGAGTACCCGGAGGAAACTCACGCAGACACGGGGAGAACAGGCAAACTCCTAGTACGAAGACAACATATCAAATGTTGAAACTTTGAAATTTTATTATTTTTTTGAAAAATAAATGCCCATTTTGAATTTGATGCCAACAGCACGTTCCAAAAAAGTTGGGACGGGGGCCTGTTTACCACTGTTTCATCACCTCTTCTTTAACAGCACTCTGTAAGCGTTTGGGAACTGAGGAGACGCTGCTGTAGTTTAGAAAGTGAAATGTTTTCCATTCTTGTTTGATACAGGATTTCAGCTGCTCATCAGTTCAGGGTCTCATTTGTCATAGTTTTCATTTCATAACGTGCCGAATGTTTTCAGTGGTGACAGGTTTGGACTGCAGGCAGGTCAGTTTAGCAGCCGGACTCTTTTAATACAGAGCCATGCTGTTGTAATCTGTGCAGAATGTGGTTTGGCATCGTCTTGCTGAAACAATCAGGGCCTTCCCAACATTTGATTTGTTGTCTTTGTAGTATTTTCCTTTAAAAATATGGTTTACATAATTTGCATATCATTGCATTCTGTTTTTATTTACATTCTACACAGCATCCCAACTTTTTCGGAAATGGGGTTGTAACAAGAACCGACTCATTTACGGACATCTGTCTATTCAGTTTATTACTATGCGGCAGTTTATTCCTGAGTAGCTGAACGCAGCGAGCAGCCACTTTAAACAACCGCGTTGTGCCGAATTCCAGCTCCCCTTCACGCGCACATGCAGACATACAGCCGTATGCAAAAGTTTGGGCGCCCCCTGTCAAATGACACTTGTTGATTTTCAAAGTGAAAATAAGTTTAGCTGAGTTGAACACATTGGATGGGAAAAAATAAAACATAAAATATGAAATGGGTCATCTTTGCTCAGGCCACATACTAATTTTTCGTCAGTATGTTTTCTTCAGTAGACAATTCATTAATATATTCATTAATATGTGCAGATGTGTGTCTCTGTAGACGTGTTCACTTATTTACACTTAGAAAATCAACGAAACGTAATCTGACCAGGGGCGCTCAAACTTTTGCATACGACTGCATGGACGCTACATATTACATTTGTGGTAAAGTTTGTGCACCCTGTATGACGTTTTGTGAAAAATAAGTTCCTTATCATCCTCTACAGAGAACATTTGAATGCACAGTTACTGTTCATTTGTTAATTTAACATATTGGACAATAAAAAATAAATAGATGAAACATAAAACATGGCATGTGCAAAAGTTATTGCACACTTTACATTTTATGTTTTTTTTTTTCCAAAATCTTTTCAGAGAAGGACAAAATGCATGTTAATGTAAGGAGATTCTGTTTCAAATATTTTTTGACCATTTCTATTGGTTCACTCGTCAAGAAATATTCAGACAATGTAAAGAACAGCTGATTTTTTTACATTTTAAAAACCAATGAAAATGAGGTTATGAGGTTTGAACACAGCAGCTAAAACATACTATCAATAAATAAACAAACAGAGAACAATTATTGCACAATTGCAGTTTTTTTGCTAATTAGACAAAAAATATATAAATAAATAAAACATAAAATATGGCATGCGAACGTTATAACACACTTTACATTTCCAAAATGATAAACTCAGCAAAAAAAAATTTAAATCTACACTACAATTTGCAAAAAAAACAAAAGCCATACTACTTTTTTTTGCTAATTTTCACTTAGAACTTATTTTCACTTCAATACTTATTTTTAGAGCAATTAAACACTCGCCAGGGGGCGCCCAAACTTTTGTATATGACTGTAAGTTCACATGACGCAAGTGAACGCGAAGTTAAGTCAGATTCTACAAGGGAAGCAGATTTTGGCACAACACCAGCTGTCTAAATAGGCTGATCACAAAGTTGATCCTGAACTGCACCAACAGTCAGCAGTCCTGTCCTGTAGACCTGGGTGTGGTTTAAGTACATTGAGAAAATGTTTGGGGCTGCATTTTCAGCAAATATGCTATAATAGACTGTTGACTTCTAATGTTTGTCAGCTACGTTAGCCCCAGAGATCCAGCTTAGGAATAATGAAGCATAATATGAACTCTAAAATGTCTTCACGGCTCGACTGTATCTGCGGAAAGTGGAAGATTGTGCAAATCGTTTTTTTCACCCAACCATTCCTTTTATCATCTTCTAAAGAGTTTGAAGAGGGCGATCTATAGAGCTCACAGAGCTGATGTTACTGTGTGGAGTCACAAGACTCCATCTGAAATCAATTCCGGCTACTGAGTAGAGAAACCACACTTCATCTGTAAGGATCTCAGTCCAAATTCAACAGTTTGTTGCTTGCTGAAACATAGTGTGCCTCATTTCACCTGTGAAGGGGCCAGCCAATCAGAACAGAGCTCATTTACATATATCAGTCTTAAAGACGCAGTAACAAAAACAGTCTGTTTAAAGGGAGGTTGGAAAACGGTCATGTAGAAATGAATTATTTGAACTATTGAACTATGAACTATTTTATAGTTAGTGTTTTACAAAAGCTCTTATTAATAAACTTTATTATTAGCTATTAATTAACCTTTAGCAATTAAGCAACCAATATTGAATCAATTAACCACCACCTCAGAACCTCATCAGACCAGTTATGTTTTCTGTTTTTTTTTGTTTTTTTTTACAGCTGCTCTGGCGGAGCCTCTGCCGGACGAAGAGGGCGGGGCCGCCCTGAGCTCCACCTCCAGCTACTTCGTCCGTCTGGGTAAGCTCTCGGCCCGCGTCAGAGAGCGAGCACTGGAGCTCTCCCTGATCAAAGCCCGAAGCGCCCGGGACGCCACACACGCAGCCGTGACCCAAATCACCAGCACGCTGGACCTGCTGGAGGCCGCCCGCGCTGCCCGCGCGACCGCCAGCCAGCTAGGGGGCGCTCCAGAGCAGCTGCTGAAGCGCTGGAAGGAGTGGAAGGAGGGGCAGCCCAAAGAGGAGGAGGGGCAGGAGACAGAGGAGGCGGAGCCTAATGGGGTGGAAGATCAGGGGGAGGTAGGAGAGGATTTAACAAAAGTGTTTAGCGTTGAAATCAAAACTGACCTGTTTTCACCATGTTAGTTAATGTTTACGCTCATATTAAGCACGATTCATCATATGGTCTCGTCTAAAGAGACCTTCCAAAAGGTAATGGCATTAGCCCCGCCCCTAAAACATCTTCTAATTTTTTGTTACATCACCGTGCACCAGCAGGCGGGGCGAACTAATATTAACCAATGATATCATGGTTCCCCTCTAACTCCCACCACCCCCACCTATCATGAAGAGTGCTTCCTTTACACTATGTGGAGGTTCTTTAAACTTCAACATGGTTCTTCATACTCATTCTTATCATTTGAAGGGCAACTCCACCGATTTTTGAAAATTAGAGAGTCAGAATTGTTCACAGTGGTGGTGATAGGAACCAGACGTCCACCTCTAAAAGCTCCCTCACCGAAAGCAATTACATGAAATGTAATGAGCTGCCTGATGTTTGAAACGTTATTTTTTGATATGTTTCAGAAGATATTTAAAACTCATTCATAGTGGAGGGATACATGCAGGGCGGTGTGAGGCAAAATAGTCCCCAAAGAAAATTATTTTTTTGTGAATGTAGCACTATTTTACATTACATTACATATAAAAGCTCACAAGACTCGTGTAGGTTCACTGGAGGTTTTCGGTAGTAAATAAAATGGCTATATTTGTGTTGTAGACGTCGCGACCCCTGGTTCCTATCACCACCACTGTAAAGACATCTGACTCGGTAAGTTTCTCTACAAAGTACCGTTTCACATCAAACCACTCTGAATGACTTTGTTTACATCTGAACCACTGAATTATGCAAAAAAAACTGGTGGAATTCCCCTTTTAAAAATGCCTCCCTTGAAAGGTTCTTAATGCAACCAAAAGTGATTCTTCTATAGGTGTTTGTTTGCATGTATATTGTGTTTATTTGCCTTTATTTGTACTTTACTACTACTTTAGAATTACTCTTTGTATTCTGTATCGTCTGTTTACTCAACCATCAGTTTCACAAAGACTAAATTATGGATTGAAATAAACCTGTTCTGATTCTGTTCATGTTCTGCAGCAGCTAGAGTGGCGAACTCTCTCTATGGTTCGTGGCTTGAGTGAGCAGTTGCGGCTGGCCAGTGCGAGTGTAGTGTCCAGCGCGCAGGGTCTCCCCGGAGCCGTGCAGGAGCAGCTGCAGAACGCCCGCCGCACGGCCGAGGACCTGCACTCCTCTCTGGGCAAAACCAGCACCCTCACACCGCTGCTGCTCCAGCAGAGCCGCCAGCAGCTCACACAGGTACAAACAGCATCACCACACAGAGCTGATAAAACACTGCAACAAACAGGATAAATCGCTGTTGTCGGAAGAAAACCTCGTATCTCCATTTTTCAGTTTTTGACATAATTTGAAAATGCCTGTTGCTCTTTACATTGTGTGTAAAATTCATGAATAATGGACCAAAAAAAATGTCCCAAAATTACTTGGAAAGACGTTTGGTTCCATTGACTTACATTAAAAGTAAAGTAAATGTTTTTTCTTTCTCCTGTAAAGTTACAGTTTTGGAGATACGAGGTTTTCTTCTGACAAAACCTCATTCTGCAGTTTTAGTGTTATGGCCCCTAGACTATGGAACTGTCTTCCTTTATCTCTCCATGACTGCTCCACCTTGTCCTTCCTCAAAGTCCATTAAACTTATTATCATTATCATTATTATATTATGAGTGTATATAAATGTATATTAACCACGTAATGGTTAACTAGGCATTAAGAAAATGTTAATACATTACAAAATAGCAGGATAGTAAATAACTACTCTCTTCAAAAAGATGGTTCTTTTAAGGGTTCTTGAGTATTTAGAACCATGCGTTCTATATAGAACCATTTGCATGCTTAAATGGTTCTTTGCATGGTGAAATTGTTCTGATTAAAGGAGGATGAGCTGTAAAAAGTTTTATATAGCACCTGAAAAGGGTTCTGCTATTGTTATGATGTCAAGCTTGTCCACATTAGGAGAACACGTTTTGGTGTTATACAGAACCATTTTCAAAAAGGCTCTATCTAGAACCATACACAACACATTCTGCATCAATTTGAAGAACCAATTAAGCATGAAATGGTTCTATATAGAACTATATATGGTTCTATATAGAATCATAACAACAGCAGAACCCTTTCTGGTGCTATACAGAACCATTTTCGAAAAGCTTCTATATAGAACCATACACAACACATTCTCCATCACTCTGAAGAACCATTTCACCATGCAGAGAACCACTTAAGCATGAAAGGTAGAACTATATAGAACTTATGGTTCTAAATAGAACCATTCCCTTTACTAAAGAACCCTTGAACAACCATCTTTTTTAAGAGTGTACTTGATCATTTAAAACACGACATAAAAAATCTATTCTGAATTATTATGAATTGTTTTTATGCAAGTAAGTAAATGCTTAATATGTCAAGTTATGTATTTACTGAGTAACGAGTATCAAATAACTAAGTCCTATAAACTGATCCCCTCCAGCAAAACCATATATTAAACATTAAACGACTTTTTCGGATATCAGTTACTTTATTTTCTGTTTTATTTTGTACAACCTTTACATTAAAAAGCCAAACTATGCTTTATTTACATTTTATTCACCCCTTTATTTTAAACAGGGCGTCAAACAGTGCCAAATCATCCTTATATGAATGATATTTACAAAAAAATGTCACATATACTGTTTTTCATATCAAGGGCTCGAAGAATGATCAGGTTTCTGCAACTCAAATTCATTATTGATTATTCACATCTCAATAAGTGAATGGTTAATAATTCAAATGGTAGCATTTATTAATGCATATGTAACTATTACACAAGCATTAGCAGTCATTATACAACAGTTAGTTCCGGCCACGTGAGCTGATTGGTTGAGAAGCGTTCTAACTGTGCTGTTATTTCACCATAACATCACAGGTTTTTCACAAAATCTGTATCACTCCACTGAGACGCCGTTGCTAAGCAACGACTTTGACAGCTGTAGGAGACGCTCAAGACATTTAAACGTTTTTACTTCTTACTTTGCCACAAACAGAAAATGGACACTTTTAAGATCACATTTGACCGACAGCCGGTTTGGTCAGACTCTGAAGATGAGACGACACTAAATTCCCAAACTGTCATCACCACTGAGCAGCTTTTCAGTCGGCAGCTGAGACAGAAGAACAGCTGAACAACTTGGAATCAGCCAGAAATGAACCCAACACCATTCGCCAAACTAAATGGGCTGTAAGATGCTTTACAGACTGGCTGGAACAAAACAACATTAATACTGATCTGGCAAAAACTGACAAAACTGAGCTGAACTTGATATTGCAGCAGTTTTATGGCTCAGTCTGATTCGGTCAGACTCTGAAGATCAGACTACACGTTTGGCGAATGGTGTTGGGTTCATTTCTGGCTGATTCCAGGTTGTTCAGCTGTTCTTCTGTCACAGCTGCCGACTGAAAAGCTGCTCGGTGGTGATGACAGTTTGGGAATTTAGTGTAAGGAGCTGGAGAAGAACTGCCGGCTGTGCAGCGAGTGGGCGGAGTTCGTTAGTGATGATCTACGGCGACCAAATCACAGCCGTGATGATATTTCGCAATAACACACTCCCTCTGTGTTCTATTGCTTAATTAACAAACTATTAGATGATTAAAGTACTATTTATTAGAGTCTGTTATTCTAAAATGTTACCCAGAATATCATCTCACAATCGCCTTATTATAATTAACATAGTTATAGTTACAAACTGTATGTTTCATGTTTGAAAGTTTTCGAAGTTGTTTTTGAAAGCAAAAAATAAAAAACTGGCCAAAAACAAAACTTTAAATTGCTCATTTCTTTTCTAAAGAAAGCTGCTTCTTTTTTCTTCAGAACATCCAGAGCGTTCTTATTATCGAGAAAATGGTTTCTTCTGGAAATAGGCTTCATCCAGGTCTGCAGCAGGTCTCCCTCTCTGACTCAGTGTTTATCTTCTGATGATTCAGAATTTGAGCAGCAGGGGGACGTAGCTTTGTGTGTGAGTGACCGAGATCTTCAGACTGGAGCACCTTTTGACCTCGACTAGATGGTTTCCAAACAGCTGGAGTCGTTTGCTCTGAAAATGGAGCAGAGTGTTACATCAGAGCTCTTCTATTCAGAATCCAGTGAGTTTAATGTTGATGTGAGGGGGAGCCAGTGGACGTTAGAGGGCAGGTGTGGCACTTTATGTCATAAAAATCTGTGAAAAAATAACTGATTTAATAATAAGAAAGATATACACTGACCAGCCACTTCATTAAGTCCACCTCCTTGTTTCTACACTCATTGCCCATTTTATCAGCTCCACTGACCATATAGTTTCACTCTGTAGTTCTACAGTTACAGACTTTAGTCCGTCTGTTTCTCTGCATACTTTGTTACCCTGTTCTTCAGTGGTCAGGACCCCCATGGACCCTCACAGAGCAGGTACTATTTGGGTGGTGGATCATTCTCAGCACTGCAGTAACACTGACGTGGTGGTGCTGTGTTAGTGCGTGTTGTGCTGGTCTGAGTGGATCAGACACAGCAGTGCTGCTGGAGTTTTTAAACACTGTGTCCACTCACTGTCCACTCTATCAGACACTCCTACCTTGTCAGTCCACCTTGTAGATGTAAAGTCAGAGACGATAGCTCATCTGCTGCTGCACAGTTTGTGTTGGTCATCCTCTAGTCCTTCATCAGTGGTCACAGGATGCTGCCCACAGGACGCTTGGCTGGATATTTTTGGTTGGTGGACTATTCTCAGTCCAGCAGTGACACTGAGGTGTTTAAAAACTCCAGCAGCACTGCTGTGTCTGATCCACTCAGACCAGCGCAACACACACCAACACACCACCACCACGTCAGTGTTACTGCAGTGCTGAGAATGATCCACCACCCAAATAGTACCTGCTCTGTGAGGGTCCATGGGGGTCCTGACCACTGAAGAACAGGGTAAAAGGGGGCTAACAAAGTATCAGAGAAACAGCTGGACTACAGTCTGTAACTGTAGAACTACAAAGTGCACCTATATAGTAAGTGGAGCTGATAAAATGGACAATGAGCGTAGAAACAAGGAGGTGGTCATAATGTTACGCCTGACCGGTGTATTTATAATATTACTGTATACTTTGTTCATATTCACTGTAAGACTCTTATAGAAATCCTGTGAAAATTCCTGATCTTTTTCATAAGGGAACCTAATAACTTATTTAATGCTAACCTAAATATCATCTGATGTATTTGAAAATTGGTTTAATTTTGATTTGAATTTTATTATCATCACCTGAGTGAATCTTTTTTGGTAAGGGAGGGAACTTCAATACTCCAGATTATGTAACTCTAAATTGTATAATCTGAATGATAAACTTTATGAAGTTAAGATGTAGATTCTAATGTTTTTTTTTTTACCACCAAAAAGTAACAAGAGTAAAAAATAACATTCAAGAACTAAAAAATATACATATATTCATAGCCAAGGGTACATAGAGAAAAAATTATCACATCATATTAAAATATTTGAATACATTGATTGTCTTTAGTGCATTCTTATTTTTTGAATGGTATATAAGGATTTTATATTGTTCAAAATTTTCCAAAAGGTTTGTAGAGTTAGGTTTGACCATGAAACTTCCCTAATAGAAGAAACAACTGTTATATTGTTCATATGTAATTGTCTTACTTCACACTCATTATGTCTAAAATAAAATAAAACATAAAACAAATATATCAATCCTTATGATACTCTCAAGCTTTTTCCCAAATACAATTGCATACTCTTTTGGTACAGAGTCCCTGAGGTGACATGGTGATTATTTTCTCATGAGGTGAGGCCACAAATAAATATATTGAGGCCATCTGTTACTATATTGAGGCAACAAAAAATTACTATGTTGAGGCCACAAAAAATTACTATGTTGAGGCCACAATTTACTATATTGAGGCCACAAATTAATATATTGAGGTCACCAATTACTATATCGAGGCCACAAATTACTATATTGAGGTCACAAATTACTGTATTGAGTCCACAATTTACTATATTAAGACCACAAATAACTATATTGAGGCCACAAATTACTATATCACGGTCACAAATTACTATATTGAGGCCACAAATTAATATATGAAGGTCACAAATGACTATATCGAGGCCACAAATTTCTATATTGAGGTCACAATTTACTGTATTGAGCCCAAAATTTACTATACTGAGGCCACAAATTACTATGTTTAGGCTACGAATTACTATATTCTGGTCACGGCTTACTAATCGAGGCCACAGTTGACCATACTGAGGCCATAATTTACTACATTGAGGCCACGAAATAATATATTGAGGCTCTGAGTTATGTGAAACTTAACCCGTGCCCTCAATATATTATTTTGTGGCCACGCCTTATGAAAAATTAATCGCCGTGTTACTAAGAGGGCTCTGTACTTTGGTTCTACTGGTGTCTGAAATTTTTGGAGGAATTCACTCAGCGGCAACAACTGGCCATTTGCATTAGCTGTAGTTTCTAATGGAGTTGGCTGGCTCGCTGCTCTGCCGCTGACGTCACGGCCGTTGTTTTCCAATGACGGGCGTTTAGCCGGGGAAGGCCGCAACTTACACTGATTAGCTCTCCGTTTCTGAGGATCAACAGCGCCAGTTTTTCCTCTCCAGTCGCTTTTAATTGCAGGTAAAGATGTCTTTAATTGGAAAACGGCGTCAGTAATGTCTTACGGGACACTTTATACTTAACGGCGATCGGGCTTTGCCTACGTGCCTTCACGCAAGCTAGCAGGCTAATGCTAACTCGGTTAACGGGGCAGCGGTGGCTGATATCGCCGTTAAAAACGAGCCAAACATAAAACAGCGGAAAACAGAACCGCGATAACTGTGTTCAGGGAAAATGTTTTGTTCTTGAATTGATGGATAAATACAGCGCTAAGGCGTCGTCTGTTGTGGTTTAGCTAAGCTAGGCTACGAAGCTGAAATTCGCTTCTTGTTCGAATTTTCCGTTCCACCTTAAATGGTGCCGCAGCTACGTTCTGGCGCCCGACCGCCCGAGTGTAGCTCCTGCTTTATTTAAGGTGGAACGGAAAATTCGAATAGGAAGCTAATGTTGCTTGTCCTGCTAGCTCGGGGTCAAAGACGAACATTTTCATTTTCTTTTCTGTTTTTTTGTAATTTCAGTAAAAAAATACGCTAAACTGCTGTTAGGTGCGATTTATACTGGTCTTATTCATCTACAGTGTAGGGATAAAGTGGCTTGTTTGTGTCTGCTGGAGAAATTTGAGCTTTATTTATGTTTTGGTTAAGTTTTAGTTTAGCTCTTCTGACTGAAACAGTTATAAAAGGACTATTTTGGGGGGGGATCTTATGTAAATGACTGTAATTTAACCACCCAAAGTCTTCTAATTCCACATTTTTTCTCGTTGGATATCCACACTATCGTTAGCCCAGACCATTCCTTTCTTTGTTCCATTGCTGACAACAAAACACTTTTGCTTTTTTTCATGCTTTAGTTTGGTCCATAACATTGTCCTCCTCACAGCTAACTGGACCTCTACAAATGACCCGAAGCACTTTTGTCTCGTGTTTGTGGCTCAGTGTAGTGATGTGGAGAGGAGGAAATGGTGCCAAACTGAAATGCAATGCACACTAGGGCTGGGCAAAATTAATAATTATTAATTAATAAGTAATGTATATCGTTATTGTGATAAATTATGTCACGGTACAAAACAGTACGCTTTCCTGAACTTTGTCAGTACTTGGAACACAGACCATCAGCATGTTTCATTATAAACAGAGCAAAATTAGTCCTGTTTAACGATATTGAGGCCACAAATTACTACGTTGAGGCCACAAATTACCATATTGAGGTCACGGCTTACTATATCGAGCCCACAACTTACTAATCGAGGCCACAGTTTACCATACTGAGGCCATAATTTACTATGGGTTTACTGCAACACAGTATGACAGATATTGAATAAAAATCATTGTGTTCAGTTTTTTCTCTGTTTCAACTGATCAGATGTCTGAAAAAATAAATATCGTGTCATATTGTGTATCGTGAAAATTTCTCAATGTTATATTTTTGCTATATCGTGTACTCGGGCTGGACCTGAATATTTGACTATTTGGATATTCGTTCGTTGGGTAGATATTTTGTTTTTAAATTTTGGGATCCATATTTTTATTCATTTTATTATTATTATTTATTTATTTAGCCTAAAGCCTAGAGGCTTTAAATAAAGGCGAACTACAGGATACTGTAACATTCAGGGTTCTCGGGAGTAACTTGAGACGGTTTTACTTATAATTTCCATAACGCGGCTTTACTTTCAATTAGCTGAAAACAGTGGCAAACACAGCGAGAAGAAACCTCTCCTGCGCTAACAGTTAAAAACACAGCCCTCTACTCCGGAAAACCCACCACTCCACCCGCGTTCAGGCTCTTCAACATAAAAGTCCTTGCACGAATAAACCTAAAACAGCCGAACATAAACTTTCCTTCTCTTTAAAAACTGAACTGCTTACAGCGCGATGCTGCGACGACACGGTATATTTCGTCAACACATTCTTGTGCGGTATTTATACTTTCTAATTAGACTGTTAAAATATGGAGATATAGACCATCTCAGCCGCTAAGAGAGGCTAGTAGATGGAGCGAAGCCATGCTGTGAGTGCTGCAGCGCTTTGTGAGGAAAGCAGGAAGCCTGGAGATTTGGGTTTTACAGCAGATGAAGCTGTGGATGTGCTTTTAACACGGGAAGCTTTGAATATTCGCTGTTGGTTACTGCAGAAGCAAAAAATTATATTTGGGACAGCCATAAACTGTAGAGCCACTGGTGCTTTGTTCTCTGTTCCAACTGATCAGATGTCAGAAAATAAATACCGTGACGTCGTGCATCATGAAAATTAGACGTGCACCGAAACCTGATCCTTTAGTATCGGCCAACGCAGAGTGCCGCTACTAACTCTGTCTAACCTAACTCACCCATAAGTCCTGATATTTATACAGTTACATTTTAAAATATTTTATTTTGGTAAAAATCTATGTTCTGTGTCACAAATAAAACACACTCAGATAGATGTCATTTACTTGTTGAATTATATTTATTAGATGCTTGAGAGCTTATTTTTGTTTATTTACTGTATATATTTAGTATTTTCTGCTGTATAATTAGTAATAAGAAGCATATTTAACAACTTAAGTAAATGTAAAAATATCTTTATTGTGCAAAACAGTTAAAAACAGAGCTGAACAGTAAACAGACGAACCTGTGGTGTTTACACATCAGCACCCAGCAGCTTCTCTGGCTCAAAAACGGAGCTGAATGTTGAAAGTTATTTGTCTCAGACATGTTCACTCGCACCGCATCTCTGAGCATCAGTTCAGTAAATATCACCATCGTTCACGCTGTCAGTATCAGCGAGTTTCAGTGTATGTTCTGGCTTGGTTAAAGTGACGGTACAGCTGACCGACTGAGGTGCTACGCAGGCGGGGCTAGTAGTCGCACAGGCCTGGCTAGAGGGCTGCTATGCTAAAGGCAAAATCGAGGCTAAAGGTTGTCATTACGCCGAGCGGCCGGCGGTTCTTTCGCTCTCTCAGTAACATTAACTCAGACTGTTAGTGACCACACAGTGGCAGACGAGTGATACTGAAAGAAGCAGACACACGTCAGAAATGGTGGCTTCGTGGTGGCAGTAATAGGCATCGATATCCCCATCACCGATAACGATACTGCGCTTAAGTGCCAGTGTCAGCGCCGATACTGATGCCCACCTGAAAACCATACATGACATTACTTTTCTATAGTGTCAAATTGAAAAACAAACCCTCTATTACATGACCTCTCTGCTGAAAAACAGTACGTGAGGATTTGCGTTTTAAAAAACGAAATGCTTAATTCATGTCAGAATTGAATATGCCTTGAAATGTAAAGAAGGCACGACTATTGCTTTCCACCGTGCATTACTTTAAACAACTTTAAATCAATGTAATGGACCTTTTACTTTTTGTTTTGGCACATTTTCCACATGTTACTGTTTAAATGCACTGTTTTGGTTTCACTTCAGTGAGGCGAATACACCGATCAGGCATAACATTCTGACCACCTCCTTGTTTCTACGCTCATTGTCCATTTTATCAGCTCCACTTACTATATAGGTGCACTTTGTAGTTCTACAGTTACAGACTGTAGTCCATCTGTTTCTCTGATACTTTGTTAGCCCCCTTTTACCCTGTTCTTCAGTGGTCAGGACCCCCATGGACCCTCGCAGAGCAGGTACTATTTGGGTGGTGGATCATTCTCAGCACTGCAGTAACACTGACGTGGTGGTGCTGTGTTAGTGTGTGTTGTGCTGGTCTGAGTGGATCAGACACAGCAGTGCTGCTGGAGTTTTTAAACACCTCAGTGTCGCTGGTGGACTGAGAATAGTCCACCAACCAAAAATATCCAGCCAACAGCGTCCTGTGGGCAGCGTCCTGTGACCACGGATGAAGGTCTAGAGGATGACCAACACAAACTGTGCAGCAGCAGATGAGCTATCGTCTCTGACTTTACATCTACAAGGTGGACCGACAAGGTAGGAGTGTCTAATAGAGTGGACAGTGAGTGGACACAGTGTTTAAAAACTCCAGCAGCACTGCTGTGTCTGATCCACTCAGACCAGCACAACACACACTAACACACCACCACCACGTCAGTGTTACTGCAGTGCTGAGAATGATCCACCACCCAAATAGTACCTGCTCTGCGAGGGTCCATGGGGGTCCTGACCACTGAAGAACAGGGTAAAAGGGGGCTAACAAAGTATCAGAGAAACAGATGGACTACAGTCTGTAACTGTAGAACTACAAAGTGCACCTATATAGTAAGTGGAGCTGATAAAATGGACAATGAGTGTAGAAACAAGGAGGTGGTCAGAATGTTACATTTGAAGTACAAAAAGGAGATAAAGTGACATGAAAACAATGTAATAGAGGTTTTGTTTTTCATCTTGGCTTGTATTCTCAATGTCACTATGGTGAGTAATGTCGTGTGCACTACAGTTGCACTGTAGTGATCGTTTTTCACTTTGGCACAAATTCCTATCCATAGTAGTAATGCAGCAAAGCTGGCAAACAGTCATCACTTTAAGGGGAATATTTTCTTTCTCACTGCCTGGACTGAGTCATAAGTCAAACCGCTGAACACAGAGAGATCCTAATCCTACATCTGTGTCCTCTGCATTACACATTTTAGTGCTTTTTAACCTCATGAATGGTTTGGAAATGAGCTGTTTATTTGAATCGGGTGTGTCAGAACAGGAAATACCTTAAAATGGACCATCTGCGTTCGCATAACTCGATCGCTGAGATGTAAACAAAGTCATTCAGAGTGGTTTGGTGTGAAACGCTCCGTTCTAGAGTCAGAACTGTTCACAGTGGTGGTGATAGGAACCAGACGTCTACCTCTAAAAGCTCCCGCACAGAAAGTGAAATGGTTGAATTCACTGCCTGATGACTGAGACTCTGTTTTTCAATACTTTGAGAAGGTTTTGCTCTAAAATATGGTTTGAAAGTCATTCATGGTGGACATGCCGAGCGTTTTGAGGCAAAATAGTCTCAGAAGAAACTTTTTTTTTTTTTCAGATTTATCACTATTTGAACAACATACTGCATATTTCTTATATCAGATTTAAGCCATAATCAGATTTCAGGAAAACAGAAAACGGAAGCAGTAAATGCTACACGCTTGATTCAGCTCAACTACATTGAAAAGCAGACAAATGACAGCATTTGCAATTTGAAATCTTGAAAATTCCCAAATATGTATTTGTCAGTAAACAACATGGTAAAAAGGAAAGCAATGCCTGTTAGTGAAAAACAGAATTTGATTATTTCAGTTCTGTATTTTCTTTCTGAGTTTCTTTCTGAGTTTATTGCAGTTAATGTTCTGGATCTCTATGGCAGCAGTTTATTTACTTCCACCTCTCACTATGTTTAGCAAAAGGCTGTTAAGGCCAGACTCTCCCCATCTAAAAATCACTGTTAAAGACAATACAGAACAAATGCATTAATACTGACACATTTTTACCCAGTCCTTCTGAATAGTGAAGTACTGGCACCTCGAACAGTTAACCAAGTGCACATCGCTAGCTGTGAGTTGTGAAACACTGTTTTGGTTCTACTCTGTTCCCTGAAGGTCATTCAGTGACTGTAGTAGGGCTGAAAGATTAATCATTTTTATAAATCATGATTAACACCAGGCAATTTTCAAATTGCAGGACCTACAATTTTTTTTTATTATAGCCTACATGATAAAAAAGTTGAGAAATGGAGAAATGTAACCTAATAACACAGAGCTCGTGAACTGCCTGTAGATGAGTTAGACCAGGGGTCGGCAACATGCGGCTCTTTTACTGCCCTGTTGTGGCTCCACAGCAGAATCAGATTTGTAGGTAAAAATAAAATAATCCTCCTTTACAGTAAAATAAAGCTCTGCTGATCGTTCAACACAGTTTAACAATAAATGGACTTAAACTCTGGAGTTAATGTAGAACTGCTAATTCACCCTTTAACCCTGAAGATCAGCGCAGACTGCTGGTCACCATAGCAACACAGACAACAATCTCACCTAGCTAGTAGCTAACGAAACGGCGAAGAAAGAGATTTAAGATGAACATCGATAATTTAGAGATGAATGGACTGATTTGCATTTATAATCACTCCAGCTGGTTTCCTGATACGTTTAATCTGCAGTGAGAAACTGACAAACACTAAAAAGTCACGAAGCTGAAGTCAGTTTCTCATTTGAATTAAGGTGGAACGGGAAAATTCAAACGAGAAGTGACTTCAGCCTCTTAAAAAGCCAAAAGTTGAGAGACATTTTACAAGAAACTGTTCTACTTTTGTGGAAAAGTTTCCTGCTGGAGATGCGAGAAAACGGCTACATCTGAGCTAAAGCTTAAAGCAGAGCAAAGTAAGTCTGTGTTTTTGTTTATATTATATTTTTAGTCTATACTAGGATTTTAGCACATACTGAGACAGATTTACAGCCAAGATGGTAAAATGTTGCTTCAATAAAATGGACATAAAATGTTGCGGCTCCCAAGGTGGATTGATTTTTGTTGAAAGGACAAAATGGCTCTTCTTGATGTTTGGGTTGGCAACTCCTGAGCTAGACCGATCAGAGGCAACCAAACCTCCATGTGTTGACATCATAACCACAACTTACTAGCAGTCTCACGCACTACACTCAGGGGTCGAGCCTCAATCCAGAAAAGGTGGTTATTCTGGTCTTCTTGGCCAAAAAAACAGGCCTGAACCTTAATGTATAGAAAATAATCACAATATTAATACTTTAATCGCAATATTACTCAGAAAAATCGCAATTAGATACTTTCCCCAAATCGTTCAGCCCTACACTGGAGTACGTGTTGTTCTGCATGCCGTCCCTGATCTTTGTCTACAGGATTCATTAGAAAGGCATATTTAATATTATGCACAGTCTAAAGTGGCTGTAACGTCTTTAATTCGTTTATTTTTTTCCAGAATTGCCGTGTCCCACCCCCCCTTGCCCCCCCTATCTCAGAGAGCATGGCTCAGGAGACGAATCAGACGCCGGGGCCCATGCTTTGCACTATGGGATGCGGTTTCTACGGTAACCCCCGCACCAATGGCATGTGCTCCGTCTGCTACAAGGAACACCTGCAAAGGCAGCAGGGAGGGGGGCGGAGCAGCCCCCCAGGTGAGAAAGGTAGGCTGAAGAGAGAAGGACCGGGTACCTTTGGATGCTGATCATGCTTCTCTTCCCTCTGCGTTTTTCCCAGCTGTTAAACATGTGTGGCACATGCACGGCTTAGCTGATCATTTGAATCAGAAGCAAATTAATATCATCAAATATTGATTTGAAATATCGGTCAAATCTAAACATCTGAACGATGCTGATATTATTGCTACCAGTATGATCATACAGCCTTACTATGGGCTAATATTAGCATGGTGGCAAGTTTGTCGTTGTTTCCTTTGAGTCTAGTTTTGGTTAACTACAGTATTATGATCTTGCTTAGTAGCTTAGCATTTTATTTTGGAAACTCAGTTAGTGAATCAAAAGTCTAAACTGAGTCAGGTTTAATGGGATTTTTTACCCAGCAATGTGAAGCTCGTTCAACCTGACAGTAGCTAAGGAATGAATTTGTGAGTATGGATAGGTCAGTTGTTTGTGGATTCAGACGTAAATCCTTTACACCAGTATGTGTATGTTCCTGAGTAATAAGTCAAGGTTAAGGTATGAATGTAATTTGATGTTAATTCAACTGACCTCTTGATCCTTTTTCCAGCTGCCACTTCTCCAGCAGGGTCTCCAGGAGCACCTACCGTAACTGTGGAGCCGACCCCTGAACCCACGTCGGAAGCAGTCTCCCCGTCAGAGGAGCGCACATCCAGGTAGGCAGTTTGAGAAGTTTGGCTGCGTCCGAAATGGCATACTTAAGCAGTACGTACTAAATTTGACCCTCACTTCCTCACTTGCTGTTCTCCTATCAGCAGCATTTTACAGCTTGAGAAGAAGTTCACGCACTTACTGGTGGCAGCAGCTATTAGTTTACCCAAACTGAAACTGGCTCAGCTCGGTAGCATTTGTATTTGCCTCAGCTGGTAATCGGCGACAGACAAATTAGTCTGTAGTTCACAGCAAAACTCCTCGTCTTTGGTGCTCTAGACTGAAGAAACGTACTGAAACGTTACTAACAGTTACTGAAACGTAAAGCTACTTTCAGAGATGAACATTTACGCCTCATACCGCTAACCTTAACCACGTTTACACTGATAAAGGAGTCAGTTACAGGCCGATTTACAAGCCAACATATTAATTTAAATTGACTTGCTTAGCTATAATACCTCAACATAAACACTGATAACTTTAAAAAACGCATTATGCACTTAAAAACTGTCAAAGCTGTAAACAACAGATACACTAGGTTGGTAGTTCAACATAAATCCCTCGCATTTGGTGTTATACACAACGTGTGTTTCGTTTGTTTGAAGCTATAATGTTACTCACACTCGTTCAGAGCCGCCTCCTCCATTCAGCCGCTGTAAAATGACGTCCCTCCGCTTCGAGCGGCTCTCCAGCTCCAGTGGAATCATGGGAGAGGACAGTGTGCTGTGGTCACATACTTCAAAATCTCTGCCGATGTAGTACGTCATCAGGAGGATTTTCGCATTACTGTTCTTTTGCGTACTATATAGTACGGAAGTGTGCCTTTTCGGACGCAGCCTTTCCCTTTCACTGTTCTCATGTACGATTAGCCGTAGCTATAGAGATGTTTCATTACTTTAGATCAATCAGAACTCATTCTGTGGCATTTTTACAAACTAGATTCGACTCTACTACATTGAAAAGCAGATAAATGACACCAGTTTGAAACCATAAAACTCCCAAATAAATGTTTGTCAGTACAACAACATGGCAGAAAGGAAGCTGCAGTAAGGCATTTCAGTTTTGCAGTTACAAGGTGCATAAGCTGTATATTTAGTAAGAAATCAGACTCTTGACTAATTTGTGGAGGCCAGATTTCCTCAGTTATCATACTTCTCAGGTGCTTTTAAACATGTGGAACAAATGATTCTGTTCTCTGGAGTGATGGAGCTCCATCCAGTACCTTTGGGATGAGTTGGAAGTCCAGAACTGACCATCTAACATCAGTGCCTGACCTCACAAATGCTCAATCAGATCCTCACAGCAATGTACCAGCATCTAGAGTAAAGCCTTCCCAGAAGAGTAGAGGCTGTTACTGCAGCAAAGGGGGGTGAACTCCCTGTTAACACACTTCATTTCAGAAGACACACTGGAGGAGCAGGGGACCGTTGTCCTCCGTTGTGCAGGTGATATATATACATATATATGTATATGCGGTAAATTATGTTAGTATGAAGAATCTAGAAGAATGAAGAATCTCTGTCCCTGAGCCGACAGTACGTGACTGAAGTGCCCTTGAGCAAAGCACCTAACCCCCAACTGCTCCCCAGAAGCTGTGGACAGGGTTGCCCACCACTCTGGGCAAGTGTGCTCACTGCACCCTAGTGTGTGTGTTCACTAGTGTGTATGTGGTGTTTCACTGCACGGATAGGTTAGATTGCGGAGGTGAAATTTCCCCATTGTGGGACTAATAAGGGTCACTTAATCTTAATTTTAATAGTTATTACTCATAATGCACAAACAGAGTGAATGGGTGCACTGGTGCTAGGTGGCTAAAAAATCTGTACAAGGAAAATTTGGCAGTGAACAGCTATACATTTTTAAATAGGCTGTAGCTATAGAGATGTTAATTAATTTAGATCAATCAAAACTCATTCTGTGGCATTTTTCCTCATCATACTAGGTGTAGTTCTTAGACATGAATGGGTTAAATATTATCTTTCACTGGTGTCGTAACAGGTAGTGGTGTAGTCCTGGGTGTGGGGTTTGAGTGGTCTTCAGTGAGAATATGTTGTAATTGCAGCAGCTCTCCCAGTCCGGTTACCCAGCAGATGACGGCAATGAGCATCTCCCAGGACACTGCAGCCACTGACTCGGACAGAGCCGACGCCGAGGAGGAAGACGAGGACGAAGGCTCATCCAAAAGCTCAGGTCAGCTATACTCGCTCGTGGCGCACAGACACAAGGACCAGTACGTCATTCACACACACATTACAGACTAGTATGTTTGTTCCCTTTTGCCTGTATGTCATTCATGAATACTCTAGGGTCCAGTACGTCATCCATATATGCACTATAGGCCAGTGAGTCATTTAAGTATTCATTAGAGGCCAGTGTGTAATTCACATATATGCGAGGGGCCGGTATGTCGTTGGCGTACGTGCCAGGGGCCGGTATGTCGTTAGCGCATGTGGCCGTTGACAGTATGCCGTTGGCATATATGCCTGGGGTGGTTGTATGGTTCATGTATACGCTAGAGGCCAGTATATCGTTCACTGTACACCAGGGGCCGTGTCGTTGGCGTATGTGCCAGGGGCTGGTATGCCGTTGGTGTATGTGCCAGGGGCCGGTATGTCGTTGGCGTATGTGCCAGGGGCCGGTATGTCTTTAGCATATGTGGCAGGTGATAGTATGTGGTTGTCGTGCACGCCAGGGACCGGTGTGTCGTTCACGTATGTGACGGGCGGGCGGGACATTGGCGTATGTGCCGGGGCCAGTATGTTATTTGTGTATACCCTAACCACCGGTTATTAAATTCATGGCAGTAAAGTATACACTAGAGGCTGGTATGTCACGTATTCAATATAAGCCAGTTTGTAGTTTACATATACGTTATGGACCAGTATGTAGTCTAAATATTTTCCAGGGACCAGTTTGTCATTTATGTATACACTTAAACAATAAACAGATTTCACAATACCACAATACCAGTATCGTCCCATCGTGTGACATATGACACTGTAGTACACTGTGAAAGCATGGGGAAGATTGTCACTTATTTATTTATATGAAAAAAATTAATTGAAATACATTTTGGGTGAGCAGTTGTCTCTCTGAGGAATATCATGGAGTGTTGTTTAATAAAACCATTACAGTTTTCATCAGTCTGATATCAAAAGTATTTTTATATAGGGCTGAATGATTTGGGGAAAATAGCTAATAGCCATTTTTCTGTTTAATATTGCGACTGCAATTTAAATTGCAATTATTTTCTATAAATTAAAGTTCAGATCTGTTGTTTTGGCCAATAATACTCTTGTGATTTGAAAACTGCACTCTAAATCTAACTGGGTTTGATTCACAGCATAATGTTATGATGCAGCTCCCTTGTTGAAAAATGAATTGTGCCTGAATATCTGTAGTATACATTCCTGCATTTGTATGCGGTCTTGTTGTATCTGTCTCTCTCTCGCCCTTTTCTTACCTGCTCTTTCTCTTACTCACTATCTCACTCTCGCACACACTTAATCACACCCTCCCTCAGTTCACCTTATTCTTTTCTCTTCCATTTGTTCTTTTATGTGAAAAATAACCACAATAATTGTCCTACAGTTCTGTTGTCTGCATGTGTGCTTCTTTTGTATTGCTGTTATTTTTCATTTTGCCCATGCTGTGCATTAGGTTACACTTATTACTTTGGACGGCAAATTTGGACTTTGATTGTTGCTGAATTGGGTTGTAATTATGTGTAATTGCACAGTGGAGAAAAGGCTCAGAGCATAGTTCAAACTGCTTCTACACAGACTTTTGAAAACTAACTTTCTGTTCTACAGGAAAGATTCAGCAATTTTCATTTTAAAGGGCCTATCCTGCATTTTTTTTGTATTTTGTTGTTGTCTCCCCACTTCTGAGTGATTGTCTTTGCCAAAATCAGCTATAATTTGAATCCTCTAGTATTAAAAAGGCTTTTTTGTTGATGTGTTACTGTAAGACTAATATGTAAACGTGCTCTGTTCTGATTGGCTGCCTTATATCGTTCCTCTTTCAGAAAGCAGTCCGAGCTGAAACACTCTTTATAGCTTCAGTGTGAGGGGGCGGAGCTAATCTACCGTAGGCTGTATATCTGGAGATATGCAAATGTGTTGTTTTTGTGACATCACATGAGCTGTTTAGGCAAAATTGGCCAAATTTGCAGCTTATTTTTTCTATATGGACTCAGAATAAAAGTTTACACACTACGCAAAAACAAAATTAAATAAATTATTAAAAATGTGTGAGGAAAATTTCATGCTGTGGGTCCTTTAAAGCTGCTAGTCCAAACAAGCAGTGAACTACAGAGGAAAAGATCTCAGCGCAGTCGGACCCGAAGGGACAGAGTTGATTGGGTCGATGAGTCAGGAGATGAGACGCTGACCGTTCCTTTTATCTCAGGTCCAGTGGGAGAGGCAGCGCAGGCTTCTTCAGACGGAGATCAGACTCCTGACAAGAACAAGAAGAAGAACCGATGCTTCACTTGCAGGAAAAAAGTTGGCCTCACAGGTGAGATAAGGGTGGAAAAGAGTCTTTCTTGTTATTTAAAGCAGCTGCAGAAGGGTTTATAGTAGGGCTGCACGATAAATCCTGTTTTTATCGTTGTCACGATGTTTCTGTAATAAACACATCGTTAGAGTGGCGATAACAGAACAAATCAAATAAATTAGGTTAACGAGTGCTTCTCTGCGCTGGAACTGAACGCTGCCCTACCACATCCAATCCAAAATACACACATGCACAGATCAAACACTCCTCCATCCCGATCTACACATCTGTAAAAACGCATCAAGCATTAAGATTGTTCTCACACTCAGGGTTGTGTTTTTAAGCATGTGAGGCAGTAATGGCTGCTGTCACAACATATTTAATCACTGAACTGAAATAAAATGGGAAAAAATGTGTGCCTATATTAAAAATAAGTATATACACCGATCAGGCATAACATTCTGACCACCTCCTTGTTTCTACGCTCATTGTCCATTTTATCAGCTCCACTTACTATATAGGTGCACTTTGTAGTTCTACAGTTACAGACTGTAGTCCATCTGTTTCTCTGATACTTTGTTAGCCCCCTTTTACCCTGTTCTTCAGTGGTCAGGATCCCCATGGACCCTCCTCGTCTGCTGCTGCACAGTTTGTGTTGGTCATCCTCTAGTCCTTCATCAGTGGTCACAGGACGCTGCCCACAGGACGCTGTTGGCTGGATATTTTTGGTTGGTGGACTATTCTCAGTCCAGCAGCGACACTGAGGTGTTTAAAAACTCCAGCAGCACTGCTGTGTCTGATCCACTCGTACCAGCGCAACACACACTAACACAATACCACCACGTCAGTGTTACTGCAGTGCTGAGAATGATCCACCACCCAAATAGCAGTTTCCGCAGATGTGCAGACTGAGAAATCCAAAGAAATCAGAGTAAGAGTTTACATACACTGAGAAATCTGATTACTGAGCTAATAGATTTCTTAACCGGTTTTCTAGACCTTACTCCGATCTAGGAAATCAGATATACAAATATATATATATATATAAACTTGGACTAGAGTGCATCACATAGCTTAAAACAGTAGCAGCTAACTTGGCTGAATTTGTCTGTATGTTTGTTCTGTGCTAGAAACCACAAACAGGTCTGCGTTATGAGGCAAAGGGAACGTTGTTTTTTTTTGTTTTGTTTTGTTTTGTTTTCATCTCCAGGGTTCAGTGCTGCTGTAGTGAGGGACATACTGCAGCCTGGTGCAGCATTTCTCATGCTGCTGATCTTCTTAGCACTTTTCCACTTCCGTCCCAGCTGTTTCACTAATGTACCTCACCTCAATAAAGCTTGTGTTGTAGCCAACAGCGGCAAACTCGGCAAGCAGAGATGTAAATCTCTGACCAGTTTGATTCAGTCACAGCATGCCTCGTAATCTCAAATTTCAGCATGATTCATAAGCTTTTTTGGTATGGTTTATAGTTAAGAATGATTTTTTTAAATATGTTGAATGCACAAGTGGCTGGAGGAGCTGAGTACACAGTAGTGGAAGTCGGGGTGGGCGATACAGACATTTAATGTTACACAATATGTTTTTGTTTTGTTGTTCTAGGGTTTTGTAGGTTGCAGACAAATTGCACCAGCAGTGCTACAAAACTGCGATAATAACTAAATTTTTTTAAGTTAATATTTCACGAACTGCACTGCACTAAATCCAATTAAACAGGAGTATTTATGATATTGATTTAACTCAGCATCATGATGCCTGTCAGTCATAGACGATAGTTGATGGCATCGTCTATCAACCCGAGCCCTACGGTGGTAAAGGGTTATTATTTTGAAGTAAAAATGTCCCAAAGTCTGAAAATCGGTGTGAAACATTAAGAATTGTCACTACCGAAACACCCATTTTGTGCATTTAAGTAAACTTTGTTGTGTTTTAATGAAATATTTGGTGATTTTATGTGTGAACAGCTGCTCAAAGATGTGTTTGCTGGTCATGTACTGGCTGCGTTTTTAAGCTCAAAATGAGCTGAAATTGTCACTACTGAAACATTTGGTAAAGCCATGTTATGTTATGATTATTTTGTTGAATGTTCAATCATTTGTTTTAATAAAATAATCATAATTAAGATTATAGAGTCACTCTAAGCAAAAAGATTTTAGTCCACTATCCAAATCAGTTAAAAGTTTGAAATGTGTTGACTTTGAATTAGTTCGTTAGAATGATCCAGATATGAGCTGTGATGTGATATGTAAGGTAAGGCAAGTTTATTTAAATAGCACCTTTCACTACTGTGGTCATTTAAAGTGCTTTACAGATTATGAAATACAAACATTATTCAAATCAAAATTCAAAAGGTGGCGAATTTACGGAGAATAGAAATTCGAAACATGATTAAAACAATAGATTTTAAAAGAGAAAATGATTAAAATCAAAATCAAGTTAAAAGTGTCCAGTGTCAGGGCTCTTCCAATGCTCTGTCAACTGGTTCTATTAAAGGGGAGGGGGGGGGTGATGTGTTCCTTCTTTTACTCCTAGTGAGACTCTGGCAGCTGCATTTTAAATCAGCTGAAACTTCTTGTATTATTCGGGAGTTCAGTTAGGAGACCATTACAGTGATCAATGCTGCTAGAAATAAAGGCATGGGTGAGTTTCTCCAGGTCTGCTTTAGTCAGAACATCTCTGATCTTGTTGATGTTCTTAAGGTGATAAAAAGCTGATTTAGTAACTGCTTTGACACGACTGCTAAAACTAAGATCAGAGTCCATCAGTACACCAAGGTTGCTTGCTAGTTCTTTAGATTTTAGGGCTTTCGAGTCCAGATAGGCAGCTAGTCTGTGCCTGTCATTGCTGTTCCCGAATAAAATAATGTCTGTTTTATCTGTTATTAAGGTAATATCATGTTGCTCAACCCTAAGTGGAATATAGAAAGTAAAAACAATACACCAGGCTTTACATTCTCCATATTTCAGATCGTATTTCAGTATAAATTGCAGATACAAAAATGGATTTGGTAAATTGTTAGGTAAGAAAATAGGCCAAGTGTATATTAAAAAGCAGTAAGCCACGAGAGGCCGTGTATTACTGCGATTTTATTACGGGAAGGGTGTTCGTAAAACTCTGTAAAACTCCCTTCCCTGTGATAAAATCGCAGTAACACTCGGCCTCAAGTCGATTATTGCTTTTATAAAACAGTAACCAACATAAAATATGATGACAGAAAGTAATTAAAGTTATTATTAATAATATTCGACATAAGTATTCCGTCAAGAAATGTAGTTCCTTTAGTGTACAGTATCGTTGCAAAGCAATCATGGACCGCTGAACGAGGAGAACGTTCGGTCGCCATTGCTGTATTTTCCGGTCATTTCATTATTTTTTTTAAGGTTTTGTCGCATAACACTGAACATATGATATCACAGCACTGTTTAATGCAAAAACCTTCGCTTTATAAGTACTTTCTGGTCACCAAATCACCACCGGAGTCTTATTTAGCACCAATTCAGCGGCCCCTCTTCTCACGCTGGGGCTGAATCTCAAACAGCTCCCTGCTCCCTACATAGTGCACTACATAGGAGTTTAAATACTGGATCCTGCAGCCTCTGTGAGGCGTCATAGGTGTGGGCATATCTTGGATTTTACAACGGCTTCAAACACAGCTCAGCCAATCAGATTTTAGGGTGGGAACTGTCTTTTATTATGCATATTTATTTATTTATAATATTATTTTATGATGACCTGTTATAATTTTGCAACATCGAATGCATCTTTCTGGCCCTGAAAAGCAGCGTTGCCTGATTTGTCTTGGATGAAGTTCCTTTATGTGTCAGTGATTCCGCCATAAAAGTGATAATGCAATCCTAATGTGGCCCCTCCCTCTCTGCAGGCTTCGACTGTCGCTGTGGCAACCTGTTCTGCGCTATCCACCGCTACTCGGACAAACACGACTGTCCCTACGACTACAGAGGCGCGGCCGCCGCCCGCATCCGCAAGGAGAACCCCATCGTGGTGGCAGAGAAGATCCAGAAGTTATGAGGACTGATCACGTCTGAGAGAAACGACGACAATGGAAGATAAAAACAAAAATTTGTTTGACCTGCAAGTTTGTTTTCCGAACAATGGCGGCTTCAGAATAATAGCGTTCTAAAAACGGCTCCATTTCTTCACGGTAGGATCAGGTGGGTGGAATCGCACCTGTCCGGCCGCTCCCTAACCCGGCGTCTCCCCACCTCTCTCGCGGCGACTGTGAGCGTGTGTACGTTTGCGTGTTGTATATTTTGGCTGAGAGTCGGGGAGAGCACCCCGGGTCAGGCGGGCTTCTGCGTGCTTTTATGGGAGGGAGGACTTTTATTTTTTTTAGTTTTTAGCCTTCTATGATTTCCTTTTCTTGGGATTTGCATTCATTTTGATAAATAATGCTCGGAGATAAGGGAGCAGAAAATGGGGGACGGATTGGGGGGGTGAATTCCTAATTTTAGTCCTTTTTTTTTTTCTTTATTTTTGGTTTAAAATATTCATGACGTCATCAATTCCCAGTGTATTTACAGCAGATTGTTTCTCTTTGATATAGGCTTATTGACTTATACTAACGTTTGGGGTGCATGAACCCTTCTGGATGCAGATTATTTTGTGGTATTCGGTGGGGTTTGGTGGGGTCATAGCAAAAGCCTTGACGTGAGTGAGTTACTGAGTGTTTGAGTTTTCTTTCCTGTTCTGTTTTAATGAGCGTATGACATCAGAGGATCTATATTAATATATTGTAGTTAGCTTGAATTGTGTGATTGCTTTCTATTTATTTTATCTTTATTATTTTTCTTTTTAATTTTTCAGTTGGTTGGTTTGTACTGGCAGATTGGAAGCATGTGTCTGGTTTAAAAAGTCGAAAACATACTTAATTTGCTTTGTGCTTAATCTCTCAAGCATAGTTTCAATATTGATTATGTATCCGCTTAAAGACAGAAATATGTATGATGAGTTTGAGTTCTGTTAATATCTCTTAAAAGGCTACTAGCAGGACAGATTTGGAATCAAAGCACAAACCATTATCTCCTCAGTATCTGAGCACAAACAGAGCAGCGGGGTCTACACTCTTAGGTAAAAGGTGCCAAATGGGTTCTTTGGAGCTGTAGAAGAACCACTTCTGGTTCATTTGTCCTTAAAAAAGACAAGAATTTGAAGCCTCTCAGCTGAAAGTAAAGGTGGGCGATACCACGATATTTCGCAATTATAGTGGTAACTTGCATCACGATACCCTTTCATCTTTAGTCACTTGAAACCTACATGGAACTAAATTACAAATTGCAAAGCATCCTGCAACTCATTTGAAACTCGTCCGCAACAGTTGCAAGCATGTCAGCTGGAACAACTGAAATAAGTTTCATGAAATGAATATTTTCAAACAGTAGGCAGATTTTTGGACGATACAAAATGAAATCATGAACGACTTTTATGCAGATTTGGTAGTTTTTCATATTGTCTGTTTCTGAGCCAGAACAATAAACAAATGTGAGTTTTTCAAAGCTAACAGCTGGTTTAACTAGCCAGCTAAGGCTGTCAGCGGTATAAACGGCTGCTTGTGCTAGCGTCTATTCTTCTTTAACCTGCTGTTATTGTGATCTACATAGCTACATTACTCACTTTCTCCTCTTTCCTTCTCCATCGCTTTTAGGACAGGATGAATGAAGGCTGTAAAAAGGTGGCAAATATGTTAATAACACACCACACAGATGCCTTTACATAGCAAGAACGATATGTTATACCAAAAAACATGAGCTGCCAGTTTGGTCAAATAGTGGAGCGATTGTTTTTAATTGCTTTAAACTTTTTAATTGTTTCATGTAATGGTCAGGTTACATTGAAATGATGTTGCATGCAACTAGTTGCACAAAAGTTTCGTCTTGTAAAACCAACTATAGACCTACAATAGAGAGCCTGTAAACAACGACCAGTGATTTTTTTTTACTGTCCAATTAAATCTGCGTAGTGGCAAGTAAGCCTGGCCCGAACATCACTGTACAGGCTTGGGATGCTTGCTGGTATTTCCAAACAAGTACTCGAATAGTTCTTAATTCACCTTAAAAACAACGTTTGTTTGTTTCAGAGTTAAGCATTATTTCAAGTAGGATCATTACTGCAGTTCAAAATATGGCGAACGCGTATTTATAGTGGCGTAAAAGAACTGGAACCAGCCAGAGAACTTGTAGAGAGGAGAATTTCTGCTCTGTACTGTCTTCTGGGTTTCTCAAACACTAGAGGGCGCTCCCAAGCGAGTCCAAAATGAATAGGTTGATATGGAGCATTTGAGTAAAATCATAGTTTATTAATGCTTAAACATATTTAATGTAAAAGAATACAATCCTTTCCTGAGCACAGAACAGCATAAAACATTTTAACACTGCTGTTATATTTTAAGAGCTTTTAAACTCGAGTTATAGGAGTTTAAAATGGCGCCTCGTGCACGTTCATAACGTCTGTGAGCACAAACAGCCAATGAGCTGCTCCGCTCTCCAACCAATCAGCACTCAGTAGCGGTAATGTTAGTGTCCTGCTGCCCAAAACCTGTTTGCTGTAGAACAAAGGAAACATACAGGTGAGTTTTCTTAGCTTTTTTAGTGAAATCCATCCTTCTACTTTCTAAAACTAAAGGAAAGTTCTGGTTCAGTGATTAGAAACTATTTTAAGTTTTCGTTTTTAGCCGTTGAGCTCCTTTTACTCCCATTCATTGAGGACTTACTCACGGGCGCCCTCTGCTGTTTAGCAGACCTTTTGATATAACGGGGGAAATAGGAAGTGGCCAGACTCCTCTTAAACTGGCTCTGAACCAGCTGTGTTTTAATAAAGATAACTATACGATCTAATTAACTATCACTGTTCTGACTGAAGGTCTTTGCGTATAAAATGCACGGTAATTTAGGCTGCCACCTTTGTGGCTGGGAAAAAAAAATGAATGCTAAATAGAGAAACAAATACCAAAAATACATGTTCAAATTATTCGGGCTAGCATTAGTAACACGTAGAGTATTATTCCGTAATGACTTTTTTTTGTTCTGTTTATAGCGTTGAATAACAATGTCGTTGTACTTCAGATATAGTTTTTATTTACTGCTGTCGACTCCACTTTCTTCGTAAACCTCAGAAAAAGAAACCCAACGCGTTAATAAAATGTCTAAGTATTGCAGTATCGTCCACCTCTTGAAAGGTTCTTCAGGAAACCCAAAATGGTTCTTCTATGGCATTCAAAGATCCCTTTTTGGCACTTTATTTGTTTTTGTTATTGTTTTTAAGAGTGTACATCGTTGTTGGCGAACTTGGCATGCTCGTTAACGAGCCCTGACTTCGCTCGGGCGCGTAGCGGCGACGTCCGCATGTCTCTATCTTTACATTGTTGAGCAAGTCGAGGCTTTTCCACAGATATTCCTGACCACCAGCAGACCGACGAATGACGACGAACCCAGCGGTAAATCGTCATTTCAATAAAATCACGTTCAACAGCTTTAGCTATGCGTATACGCCGCATTTTGACGACGTCACATAACAAGACGTAATCGCTTCCGGGAAGATGAGGCTGGCGTGCCTGCGCAGGTGTTCGCACAGCCGCTGCGTTATTCGCTTGACCGCGCCTTCGAACTAAGCTAGAATGTACGAGTTTTAACGTTAACGGCATTAACGCAGAATGGAGTCTGAGTTAACTGAGGATTCGTCCAAATTAACAACCCTCTAGTGTGTGTTTTGTGTTTTTTCTTCAAATGTATATAACGTGGCCACTGTTCAGATAGTTATCATCTAACGTAGAATGTCACGAGGTTAGTGAGCGTGAAAGGAGAGAACACGTTAAATAAAGTGTACGTCTCGTATGTATCCAGTGCTAATCTGCTACTCGTATGGAAGGAGAGAAATGAAGGCGTGTGATTTGGGGTCGGGGGGGGAGGGTGTTTATAGCTTTTCTCTTTTTCGTTTAAAGGGCTGATGTCACTGAAGGGGCGGGGTTTCTACAGTATTCGTCTTCAGTGTTATCGTCGTTGCAGAATTCTTCAACATGTGCGGGTTTTACGCGACTCAAACACCAGCTGAGCAGATAATAGAGAAACTGAAATTTCAGTCTGTGAATGTTTTTCCCCCAAAATGATTCATTAGAGTTTCTGTTTTATCTGAAAAGAAAACAGTGACGGTTTGAAATAACAATGTTATCACGTTAATGATGAATTACTCATTAATGACCTCGTTTATATAAACAGGAAATAATCTGCACTCGCTCGCTCTCTCTCCCTCTCTCTCTCTCTCTCTCTCTCTCTCTCTCTCTCTCTCCCCCTCTCTGCTCTTTGCTTTCTTTTTCTCTTCTTTCTTTCTTTCTTTTCGTTCTCCTCTTTCCTCTCACCTTTTTCCTTTCTTTTATTCTCTTTTGTTTTTCTTTCTCTTTGTTTTTTCTTCCTTTCTTTCTCGTCTTTCCTCTCGCTCTTTATCTTTTTCTTTCTTTTTTCTTATTCTTTCTTTTTTCTTTCCCCTTCTTTCTCCTCTCTTTTTCTTTTCTTTCATTCTTTCTCTTTTCTTTTTCTTTCTTTCTTTTCTCTCCTTTCTTTTTTCCTTCCTTTCTCCTTTTTCCTCTCACTCTTTTTTTCTTTCTTTCTTCTTTTTCTTTCTTTCAATCCATTCTTTTTCTTTTTCTTTCTCTTTTCTCTCTCTCACTGTATGAATGATGGATTGAGGAATGAATTGATAAATATCCTTACAGGGCTCAGGTCCATTAGGCACTGTGAAACCATTAATGTCTGTATCTGAGATTTTACATCAGATAGATTTTAAATTTTTCAGATTGATAAAACTGTATGGCTAAAAAGTTGTTAATCGTTTATCATACAAATCAGTGGGTTTATAAAAACAGTGAATAAGTAAATAATAAGTAAAGTGCCTGATGACCAGTCCTGAATCTGAAACTTTAAAGAGAAAGATGTGCATCTGTGCCGACAGTCCTCACTGTGTCCTTGTAACGGGTGCTTGGACCCCTGTCATTGCATCCTGAATGTTGTACCATGAGCCTCACAGAAGAGCTGAAGAACCTACTGCAGAAACAGAGACTCGAGTCAAAGACTTTGAAGGATTTCGCTGTGTTCATATGAAAAGTCCAGTTGCCGTTTCCCGCCCTGTGTGCCCGAACACCTCCGACACACACCAGTCCCCAGAGACAACACCAGATATCCTTTTATTTCTTTTTCTTTTCTTTTTTAAATTTAGGATTGTATGATGTGTAAGAGTAAGTATCAAAACAATAAAATCACAAAGTTTATTTTAAAATTACTTGGAGCGTTTCGTTTTCTTTTTTTGGAAAAACTCTTAGAGTCTGTTAGAATGGAACCGGTTGTTACTTCATATACACCCTTAAAATGATGGTTCTTTAATAAAGACAGTGCTTCTGTATGGAACTGTGAACACTCAGAACCATTTGCATGCTTAAAAGTGAAATTGTTCTTCAGATTGATGGAGAATGTGTTGTGTACGGTTCTTTATTGCACCGAAAAGGGTTACGCTATTGTTATAAGATTGACATCACAATAGCAGAGCCCTTTTTGGTGCTGTGTAGAACCCATTTCAGAAAGATCCTGTATAGAACCATATACAACCCATTCTCCATCAATCTGATGAACC